ATATGACGTGCTGCCGATTAGGTAAACATAGATTTTCAGCAAACCGAAAAAAGAAAACTGATTCGAGATTATACTAAGCAGCAGCCACTTCGTGAGAGCACGACTTGGTTTGCCAGTCCGTTCGACAATCCGACGACCGACACGGCACGGTAGTTCATTTTCAGTTAACATGGCGAGGTTTAACAACACAGCTGAGCACGCCGGTAAACTTACTAGGCGAGCGTAGTGGACGTTTAAAACCCGATGAAAAAGCGATACGCACGAGAACGAGACAGAAAGCATAGTGAATAAAATGAAGAATGTGTAAATGTAACTAGTTTTGACAGTTGAAAAAAGTCGAACAAAACGTCAAAATCATGTGTACATGAGACATGAACAGAACGCGCGGTAAACGGAAGCGTGATCCTCACCTGGATATATTCCCCAAAATCTCCTTCCTTTCGTCGCCGTTCTCCTCGAAAATCATCCTCTCCTCTTTCACATAAATTGACATTATTTTTCACCACCGAAACAATCCGAAATCACAGTCGAAACGTCTCAGTTTATTCACTAATCACAAAATTTCACTAAGCGCCTGACAGACAAACACACGCTACGCCTCACAGCGGTTGTCTGGTAGCGCGTCGTTTGGCGGGAAACAGCCGCAAACAGCTGAGTCTAGACCAGGTTGATGCCAAGCCATTGCGATGGCGATGTTCCTACGCACGCACGAGCAGTGGCGCCACGAAATGAATGAGGCGCTCGCCGTGAAAACACGCCCAAAATGAATCAATAATTGACGAGATATTGGTTGAAAATAGAAATATATCGGTATTATGGCTATTTTGATGAAACTTATAATATACGGTTTTGTGTTTGTCATGATTCTGATATCGAGCGAATAAATGATGAGCGACTTGCTGGTTTTGTTCCAACTCCCAAGTTTTGTCCCGCCCCTATTTTTATTAATAGGTAATAGAACCCCATGTAATGAACTCTATGCATTCATCAACATCAGTACTGAGCTACTGACTGATACTGCGATAGCAGGAGTAGGGTTACTATCATATGCTGATAGGGTCATGGTGGAAATATATCAATACAATATAATATATTAATATGGTGTTCTACGACGCATCTTCCATCTTCGTTGTGTAACTGCGAGTGAAACAATTGCTCGCAGTCTGAGTGTCTTGTGCTCGCAGTTATCAATTCGCCCGAGCCGTGTTGTTCCACAGAAAAGACCACTAAAAGACAAATAATTCAAAATTCGTACAAGCAATAGCATACACCATGGATAGTATAAGATGCCTATGACACAGTTGAAAGAACTAATACTTCTAGTAGGATTCGCGGTAGCCAAGGTCACCACCTGACGTTGCGATGACGTATACGCGATGAAGTTGAAATATTTTAACTTTTTGGCATTGCTGCTTTATGTTCAGTCGTCAGAGGTCATGTCGCACATGGACGGTGTCAGCTCCCTTGATCACCGCTGCAATAAGAGCGCTCATACCGTCCAACTGCGACATGTTCGTTGAAGACGACTGTTCATGAAAATATTGAAATTTTGAATGTAACTTTATTAACCTCCATTTCGGAGAGTAATCTAATGGTTAGTCAATCATTATATATTGCAATATCACTGAACTAACTATACCTAATTATCTCATTTTCACTGTGCTATCTTCGTTTTATGATGAATTATTACTTATCTGATGCAGCTCTGTATATCTTGCAAGCAATATCCTATATATTTTCAGTATTCTCATGACAATATGTGAATATGATAGGTAATTCATTTGGGAACTGAAGAAAATAACAAAAAACAGTGCAACAGTTGCGCGTCACCAATCAGACTGCGTGACGCGTAAAGAAAATATTCATAAAATTATTTCCTCAACAAAATAACTGGAAACTACACGGAGAAAAAAGTTTTGGCCATTCCCGAAATCCCCCTGGCTACCAATTTCTGAAGTGATACGTTCAAAAATGTTTATATATCTTGATAAATTCGAGTTCTACTTTTTTGCTCTAACACCCTGTATCTCGAAAACGGAGCAATTTCGGACTGAGGTAAGTAGCTTTATATGCTCCATGGGATCCAGTTCAATCCCATAAATGGCGATGAGCTCTTGTCTACAGCCGAACCTAAAAAAAATCATCATTAAAATATAGCGAATCTTAGGCCTCAACAGTAAATACCTTTACAGCATATTTTCCAGAGAGGAAGGGAATTAAAAATTTAAAAGAATAAAAAAGTGTAGGTTGAGTAGGGAATCATAGTGCCCTTGTTATTTGTTATGTTGTTAATCTGTGGCAGTGTGGCACGTCACCCAGCGGTCAACGTTATGCGCATGCGGAAGTCTCGAAGCAAAGTGGAAACCGTGTCGGTAGCATGTCGGTAGGTCGGTAGCCGCTAGCACCGAACATAAACTAGTCGCCGCTAGTCTCTTGTCTTATGACATTAAGGTGAGTTGCCAATGCAGCGTTTTTGCTTTTTGCGTCACGCACTCTGATTGGTGAAGATTTCTAGTCGGAGGACGCAACAAATTAAGGCGCGCGGCTCGCTGAATTCCTTCTTCATACAATTTTCAAACAACCGGATGTGTTGAAAAATGTTTCCTAGGGTCGGCTGCAAGGTAGGGACAAAAATAAAACATTTTTGGGCGATAAGTTTAATGTTTTAGGATACGGACGTGATGGTTTTTATGATTTAAAATTCAGAAACCCCACCAATCACAGCAATTCTTTTTGACTAAGAACTATATTTTTATCACATCATCGTGAATTTGAAGAGAAAGTTGTTGATTGAGGTGTTGTTATAAGAGCATAAAAACAATGCACATTCTCATGATTATAAATAATTTCGACTATAATCATATCTCGTCACGCCCCTCAAACAACCTTATTGGCGGAATTCAAGCTTTTATATTTTAATTATGTTTCGCATCCCGGTTTTATTTTCATTGCATACGTATTTTCTTGAATCTTGACTGCAATGTTTGTAGTGCGCTGCAAAGTTATTCACTTCTCCCGCGTTGTAGCGTTCCCCCATCACGCGACCTTATTTATTGCGTCCAGTTTCTAGGCGCTAGTAACTAATATTTTAGTCCCATTTTAGTTGAGATATCGCATAGGCGATGCGCCATTATGAATAAGAGTAGTAGATAAGCTATAATCATTTACCAACCATGAGATGAGGTCTCTCTTAATAAACCTACAGTCAAAATTTTGTTCAAATAATTTCCATAGTAGTTTTGGGGGATATCTTATAATCGCTTTGTGAGCGGATTTTGTATCTTGTTTTTGGGCTTATTGGGTTGGGCCCTCAACATCCTGGGAGGAGAGCCGTGCCCCTCCCCCCTTCTGTAGCTACGCTGATGTAGAGTCACTGGATGGTATTAGTTTGATAAGAGTTCGGACACAGAAATGACAACGGTTAGGGTTTTTGAATGTTTAGATTTATTATGTTACACACCTTGCATCTTGACAAGAGCATCATAGTCGTCCCGCGATTTTTCATTCAAAATTGTTTGAATTTGACAATTCATTTTATAAACGTCAGAGTTGAAATAAAATTTCATAATTATTATACTTTCGAGATAAAAGCAGCTATGGAAATCACTTGCTGTATAATAAATTGTGCCAATATGAAACAAATGGATATCATTTATTCGATTTTCCAAATCAAATATCAAGCATTTGCTTATGGAAGGAAGATATGAAACGGCCTGGGTGGAAAATCAATTTGAAGACGAGCGGAATTTGTGAGGTACTCATTGAAATTCACTTCTTATAACAGCATCTGATTAGAATGAATCTATATTTTAGGCCCATTTTCAAACAGAAGATATCAAAATCTGTTTGAGAGAATCTGCTGTTCCATCAATTTACAAAGCAAACGATTTCAAGAACAAAATTCCATTATTATCATCACACAAAATACAAAACAAAATAATCATGGAAGAAGGGGAAATGATCACAAAATTACATTATGAAATTGAAAATTTGAAAACGAAACTCAGAAAAGCAAGTAAACTACAACGTGATATATTATTGAATGGCGATGTTGGTGCTGACCACGAATTGAAAATTCAACAGTGAAAAGTGAATAGATATTTATGTATCAAGGGAATTATTATAAGGGCCCTAATTACGCTGGAGGTTATCGTTTTGGAGATATTTTCTATATATCGATCCATGTTTCTTATAGCTCCTAGGGCGCTAAGTGAAGTTGCTGAGAACTTAACAAAACCAAGTATTTGGTAGGTCTCGTCAAGATAAATTATTTTTTTCCCATGAAATCTTCATCGAAAAATGATTTGTTCTCTTTATTTCAACACCCTGTATCTCCGAAATGAAGCATTTGCAGACACAAGCTTATATAGACTTTATTTCTTAAAATTGTCTCAGGAATACTTCACTGGAGTACAGTTTCACATACAATAAGGAATTATAGCTATAAGTTTATCCATATGTATATATCCTCTGATATTAAAATGTTGTTACATGCATTTTTTTCATTTATATAAATCTTGCTCTGCTAGAAGTGTAGGTATCACCGAGGGTATCACTATGAATTGAAGTGGGTGTTTGTACCCTATATCCATTGTCCATCTACGGCTATGATTGATTTGACAGAAAATATAACCTCTAAGATCGTATCTGGCAATCAGGCGCTACTAGGGAAATTGAAAAGACGAAGAGCAGAATATATGTCTTATTCTTTTATTCACTTAAACCATTGTATTATAGAAAATAGAAAAGGACAAAAGTTCAGCTGTGTCCGAACTCTTATCAAACTAATACCATACAGTGACTCTACGCTGATGTAGGTAGAGGATTGAACTGTGACTCCAGCAGCAGTGAACGACGCTCGACGAGAAGCGAAAACGCTGTATTGTAAGCTGACCTTTACTGGTGCACCCCAAATTCGATGTCAAAAGTCAGAAGTCAATAATGTCCATTGGCCATTGTCACAATTTCAACATGACAGTCATGTCAGCATGTCACTAGTCACTAATAATTTGAATTTTCAATCTCAACGGTCTTACAATAAAATCATTCTTTAGATCTATCGGAAAAGTTTTCACTCATTTCTGTTCAAGAGTAGGTTCTATTTTGGATCTGTAGCATAGGTAGCAATGGCCGACATACAGCGGAAAAAGAATATAAATGATGAAGCCGAGAAACACCTGAAAACTCTTAAAATCCCTCATGGTATAGAAAGTGATACAAGAGAACTTGTGTATACTATGATATCTCATGAAGCTTTCGGAAATCCAGAGTAAGTTGCATTCCTCAAAGATTCTATTCGTATTTCTCCTTTTCTATATTCTAGTTATAAATGGTCATTAAATGATTTTGAATTGGGCAAGAGATTGGGAAGAGGTAAATTTGGTAGAGTGTACTTGGCTCGTGAGAAAAAAACTGGTTTCGTTGTTGCTCTCAAGACTTTATTGAAGCGTGAACTAGTGAAGGCTAGAGTTGAAAGACAGACTTTGAGGGAAATAGAAATTCAAAGTCATTTGAAGTGAGTTTCATTATAGGTACATTGCTTTGTAGCTTTGATCAATATGAGCCAGATTGACCTGGGAAAAGGAAGGAAGCTGGTAGGTATTTGATTCACAATAATTTTTAAATAGATCAAAATTTCAGGCATCCAAATATTCTCCAACTTTTGGCCTGGTTTCATGATTCCTATAGAATTTACCTGATCCTGGAGTATGCTGGAAAAGGAGAATTATATAAACATTTGAAGGCTAGTCCACAAGGACATTTCAATGAACATTTGTATGTCATATACCTGGTTCAATAGTCATTTATATATATACATTTACTATAATTTGATTGCAGAGCTGCCAAATATGTTTACCAAGTAGCAGATGCTTTAAACTATTGCCATCAAAATGAAGTGATTCATCGAGATATCAAACCTGAGAATTTGTTACTCACCATCACAGGTGATATCAAATTAGCTGATTTTGGTTGGTCAGTTCATGCACCATCTCTAGTCCGGAAAACTATGTGTGGAACTCTGGATTACCTGCCTCCTGAAATGGTGGAAGGAAGAGAATACAAGCACTATGTGGACCATTGGTGTTTAGGTATTGATTCTTCTCAAGTTTTTTACTTTTCAATAAAACTAACTAGACTACTGGTGAAAGGCTGGTTTTCTAAAACATTGAAGATATTTGAGGGTGAACATGCTGCTGTGGAACATAATCAGTGCACACTTGGTTGACAATGCTTGCTTCATTTGGGGTGTTGTCATTGTAGTTATGTCAAAAATGAAAATAAACACAATACATCAACAACTAATTTAGCATTTATCAAATTCACTTAGGTTTTTTCTTCAATTGTTAAGTGATGTTAATTCAAAAATGAGGAACTAATTTGAACACTGATGAAGTTGAAAACTATACATACAGGTAATTCTAATTTTGTTTTGACTGGAAATTAATCAAAACTGTAATTTTCAGTGAAACAAAGCTTTCATTTCATGAAGTTGAGAAAAAACTGAACAATATGCCACCCTATTTGAATCACATTCAAGTTTTAATTTTCAAAACAACTATTTATTCATGAAAGAACAAATCATATTTTTGTATTTTTTGATGTTATCATTTTTCACAGGAATTAATGGATTTATTATTTTCAATATTCCTATCAGGGAAATTTGAATATCAGAATATATACAAAATAAAATGATGTAAGCATACAAATTCAACTAGAATTGTTTATAGACCACCAGTGATATTTTGATATTACAGAACTACAAGCCATCAAACCAGTAGTTTTGTAACTATAACAATGCCAATATTCAATCTTACAGTTTTTTTTCTTTTTTGATGCCATTTCTGCAAAATCTATTCAGATATGCCTTATGATCCTGTATAGGGTGCCTACTTATATGTTGACCTCCTACCTACAGCTTTAGCTGTATGAAGTGGAGAAAACTTCAAATATGAAAGCTGTTGGGTTTCATCAGTCACATCTAAAATAAACAAATCCCAGAATCTATAAAATATAGTTTTTTCCTCTGAAAAAATATTTTCATACCAAGGCTAAGATCATTTTCTCCTGTTTCCATACATAATACAATTTGGTTTCAGTCAGTAACATCCATGAGTTATATTATAATGAAAATAATATTTTTACTCCTAAAATAACATACTTATGAACCACTTTACAAATATAAGTCCTCATCTTATGAGAAGTGACAAAGACCTAAGGGCTATCATGATTCAGTTAAAATCCAAGAAACAGAAATAAAATCCCTAATAATTAATTGTTCTCCAGGAGCAGATTGAATTGATAACAAAATTCTGATGAGTTTAAAAAAACAAATTTATCCTGTACTAACTCTTCTGAAGTTTCCAGTCAGGTATATTTCCTAGAACTCTAAAAATGTCAAAATTAGTCCAGTGCACAAACAATCTAGTAAAAACAGTAAAAAATTGTGATAATTATCCCATATTTTGATGTTGCTAAACTTCTTAAAAAATATTGAAATGCAAGTTAAATGATTTACAAAGCAAAAATATTCCTCAAGGAACTGTTACACGTTCAAGATCCAACTGTTTTCCACATTTTTATGACTGGAATTTTTGAAACAAATTGATGGGTATATGGACATTATTGACTTGTGCTAATGACACATTGATAAATAATTGTTAATGGAAATTCTTGGTCGGATGCCATTTCTAATGCCAGGGAAGCTATATCAATAGTGAAAAATAATTTCGATTTTGGCTTGTTGACTCCAAATTTAAATAAAATAAATTCCATGACTTCTTCATGTCCTGAAGATTAACCAGAATATTGAACAGAATTGACAATTCTCAATAGAAACTAAGCCTACGCCACCTATCTGAAAGCTGGCAAGAAAGTGGTCTGTTTACTTTGTTACCATTGGTTCACACTTGTTTTTCGTTTGTGATTATTGGTCAATCCTTCAAAACAAACCGCTCAGATGTGTTCAAGTTGTTGCCGTCAGGTGGGGCGACGTTTTATTTTCTACCGCGAATTCATGACTAATACTTGAGTGCTCTGAAAATATTACAAAACAAAATTGAAATAGAACGAAATTCATGACTTTCCTGTTGTGAAGATCCACAACCAATAAATTTAATAGCATTGCCAATTCATGACCCGAATTTCCCTGAAATTATTCCAAAACTACTAACAATATGTTCTTTCAGTATGGTCAAATATTGAAATATACAGGGTGTTTCAAAAAAACTTAACCCCCTTGCTAGGGTAGGTAGAACATTGCAAAATAAGTTGGGTTTGCTCAGTAGAAAAATTTCGTAACGCCATCCGTTTTCAAGATACAAGGTGTTGAAACAATTTTTTTTTGCAAATTTTTCACGATTATTCCGAAACTACTGGCACCATTGTAATAAAATTTTGTATTGATGTTTCTTGAAATCTGACACATCGCATGAATTTGTTTTTATGTCTGACTCTCATAGAGGGCGCTAGTTACACGGTTTGTACCGAGTAGTTTTGAACAACTTTTTTGAGGTTAGATTTTTCAATCCAAATATCATATGAACTTGAACATCATTCAATTTTACACCAAAAAGGTACTCCTTGTGAAACTCGATACTATGTTCCGTTTTCGGAATATTTCGATTTTAAAATAATGGAGTAGTAATGATGCTGGTATAACATGAATTTTATAGAGTTCAATTACCTATTTATTCAGGTTCACAAACAATAGAATCATTCTTGTGCTGAAGTTATTGATGGAACAAAGAATCATAAGTAGAAAATTAAGAGATTTTGGACTAGAAACATGAAATCTCGCATGAAATATTGAATCAGTTAGAGTTAGTGTTCAAAATGTCCTGTGTTTCGACGAATACACGATTCTATATAATTTTGGATTGAAAAATCTAACCTCAAAAATGTTATGTTCAAAACTACTCGGTACGAACCGTGTAACTAGCGCCCTCTATGAGAGTCAGACATAAAAACAAATTCATGCGATGTGTCAGATTTCAAGAAACATCAATACAAAATTTCATTACAATGGTGCCAGTAATTTCGGAATAATCGTGAAAAATGTGCAAAAAAAAATTGTTTCAACACCTAGTAACTTGAAAACGGATGGCGTTACGAAATTTTTTTACTGAGCAAACCCAACTTATTTTGCAATGTTCTACCTACCCTAGCAAGAGGGTTAGGTTTTTTTGAAACACCCTGTATAGTGAATTTAATCAAATATTTCGGTATTTGAATTGATCTAAACTTGAAGTGGAATTATCATATTCCAGAGCTAACAAAATAAAAACTAGGAAAAATCAAAAGTTCAGACTTTTGACAAATATTTTTATAGACAATTCAGGTATTATACTTAATCCTACTCTCTTTTAATCTACAGGGTGTTTCATAATATGTGGGACACACACCAAGAGGCTATAGAGCATCTAAAAAAAATGAAAAAAGTAAGCATAAACATAGGTCATAGAATTGCTAGGTAACCAATCAACAAAAACTCTTGATATTCTAGTGAATCACTAAGTACCTGAGAGTGATCCAATCAGTAGCCTTAATTAGTCCCTCTGACTCTCAGATACGAATGTGTGATTTCTAAGAAAAAAACATGGGTGGCGATGAGACATCAAATTTTAGTCGAAAATATGAATGAGATTGTTGTAGAAAGAAGCACCAACTGTTCAAACTTTTTTCAAGAAAACGGAATTTTCTGATAGCCCTAAAACCACGATTTATATCATTTCGGAATTGCGGCACTAAGCTAGTCACATAACCGACTAAATTTTGCCACTACGATAAGCCATACAGGGTGGACATATGAGAATTCTAGAGCCGGGATTGGCGCAGTGGAAGAGCGTCCGTCTCACGACCGCAAGGTCGTGGGTTCGATTTCCAGCACAGGCAAGGAACTTTTTTCAATATTTTATTTACGAATTAAATATTGTAAAGTTTCGGAGCATTGGCTGGGGATAGTCCTACACGATTCGCTGTTGCGTTCCAATTAACGGGGCTGCTCCTAACGTGGCGCATGGAGTTAGTAACAAAGCCTACACAGAACACGCAGAAAGATATGATGATGTGGTTGTGAGCATCAGAGAAGAAGTAGGACGGTGTATGTAGGTGGGTGTGGAAAACTACCAGCTGAGCGTGAGAGCGGGCCAGCTGCTTAAGTAGACCTCGGTCTCGGGGGTTAACGATGATAGTTAGCAGGCCTGCCACTGCGCATATGGTAGTTAGTACATTACTAGCCTACAAAACACAGCTGAAAAACTCTGAAAAGAGAGCTGATGGGCGGTGCCTGAAAAGGATGTTAGCCAGCTCTCTTGAGCGAACCACATCAGTCATTGAAAACACTTGGGGTTGGCAAAAAGGTCCCATTGGGGACTAGTTGCTGACGTGGAAACGTCCCCCACCAGTACCAGTACCAGTATGAGAATTCTATACAGTTTTGCAACTTTAACGCCGAGTATCTCGCAAACGAAGCCTCTTATAATTTTTGTTTGTGGGAACATTTTTCAGAGACGCTCTATCACCTCTTGAAGTGCGTCCCACATATTATGAAACACCCTGTATATTGTCATGGAATAATTGGGTGGGGTGATAATATGTATGGAATCCATCTAAAATCTTTCGTTAATCTTTCTGATTATCCATCACCTCCCATATTAGAAAACTGATATACTGAATGTCTTTTTTAACGTGCCAGAAGACAGTATGGCTGAAACCCTACAATTTTCATATTCGAAAATTTTTTCCACCTCTTATAGTTGAAGCTGATGGTAGGTAAAAATCTAAGTATCCTAGTTGTATTCACGAAAATATATTTCATAGGTGTACTGTGTTATGAATTTTTAACTGGAAACCCACCATTTGAAAGTCCTAAGCAAGAAGATACTTATGAAAAAATCAAATGTGTGGAAGTCAAGTATCCAGAGTATATGTCACCAGGAGCCAAGGATCTAATTTCGAAGGTAATCTTTTGGGTCCTTTCATCTGCTCTTGTTGATAGTTGTTGACATAAAAAGAACAACTTTTGTTGAAATGATGTTTTTGCCAGTTTTTTTTTGTACTTTCAACACCCGGTATCTCTTGAAAGCCCATCCGGTACTGAAGATTTTTAACCCCCAAAACGATTCCACCGAATAAGGTATAACACACATAAAAAATATCAATCTTGTTGAAATGACGTCTGGCGGTCACTGGCTTTCAGTCTATAGAGAACGATTTCTGAAATTCATTTGACTATTCTGAAATACAATTGATGCTTTCTGAAACTCAATTGACGCTTTCTGAAGTTCAAATGACTATTCTGAAATTCAATTGATGCTTTCTGAAATTGAATTGACTATTCTGAAATACAATTGATGCTTTCTGAAATTGAATTGACTATTCTGAAATACAATTGACGCTTTCTGAAATACAGGTGACTATTCTGAAATACATTTGACACTTTCTGAAATTGAATGGCCTATTCTGAAATATAATTGACGCTTTCTGAAATACAAGTGACTATTCTGAAATACATTTGATGCTTTCTAAAATACAGGTGACTATTCTGAAATACATTTGACGCTTTCTGAAATTGAATAATTTATTCTGAAATATAATCGACGCATTCTGAAATACAAGTGACCATTCTGAAATTAAATTGACGCTTTCTGAAATACTTCTGGAAAAGGTGTAGTTATCAGAATGGCAATAACTTGTATTTATTTTCATTTGCCAAATTTCTTTACTTTTATTTACCATTCACATAGTGACGACTAGGGTCCCTTGATGGAAATTGAAGTTAAAGTCATCTTAACAGGGTACGGACAGATCATAGCTGCATTCTTTTTTAATGATCTAGAGACTTTAGTTTTGTCTACTGGCATCCCTGACATTGCTATCACGTCACATCCATGGGCGCTACAGAAAATCATTCAAAATTTCAATATTAGGTATGTACAGGGTATTTACTTGTTGAGGAAGATCATATCCGATTCTATTCAAAGATCAAAATTGGTATCTGGGGATTTCCGGGGTCGAAGATTATAATTATTTCGTCATAATTGGGATATTCAAGATAGTGGATCAAATATGGTGGACGAGTTTTGTAATGAAGATCAGATTCTATTCAAAATTGGTATCTGGGGGTTTTCTTTCAAGATGACCAATCCAATATGGCGAAAGACATTAGTTTATATAATCATTACTCTACCACAAATAGAAAATATGTAGGATGCAAGAGTGAAAATAACGTGCCCATAAGTTATACTGCATATACCTACTTCTTTGTTACTTTCATCAATAAATTATTCGGAAATGACTTTTTATTTAAGGGAGACAGAAAAATCATATCGTATAACATGGGGGTAAAGTATATTCTATTCTTCATTTTCCTGCACATTGTACGTATTACTTCTTATCAGCCTACTTTTCGTCCTAGACGAAGTTTTATTCATAGTGTGATATTAGTCACTCCATAAATTCTTCTCTAATAAGTTGGATTTCCGAAAATATATTTAGCACACATGACATCGAGTGATCGAGTACAGTAGTTTAGATACCCACATCATCGAGGTTTCCACCATTTCTCAATCATAAAGCTCTCAGCTCATTCAGCTCATAGATAAGCTACTGCTCAGCTTGAAATCAGAATTCATTCAGTCAATTCAGTCAACCCTGGTATACAGTCTAAGAACAGTATCTTTTGGTGAAATATATTGAGCTTTCAATACACTTTATCTGTTCCTTATCTCGTAAAGATTATGCTTGAGTAGTAAACTCTGGAACTAGAGGATTGTTTATCTATATTTTGGTATAGTTGAATCAGGAATTCCATATAGAAATTACGTATGATACGCCAGTGACCTCAATATAACCTAAAAAAACAACTAATGTCAAAAATCTAGTGTTTATCCCCAGAATTGAATAAGGCTGGAACTATATAACTGTTTCACAAACGCTTTAGAGTGAGAGGAGACGAGGATCTGTCCGTACCCTGTTAAGATGACTTTAACGTCAATTTCCATCAAGGGACTCTAGTGACGACCTGGTAGCAGTTTGTTTGAACCAATTTTTCATTCACTCTTAATAATATTCTGATCTATTATTTGTAGCTGTTGGTACATAGAAGTGAGAAGAGGCTTTCTTTGCCACAAGTAATGAAGCATCCTTGGATACTAGCTAATATTTAGAAGGATTAGTTTAACTTGTTCCTAGTTTAATTAATGATTATCGATCATCTAGATCTAGATTTTTAACTAGGTATTCAGTGATAGGTTTTAGATTAAGTTATTTGATTTCTATTGATCATTTGAGATTTGAAATAATGTTATTTGGAAAGTATGTATTGTTTTAAGGAAATATATTTTGCACATTTTTTAAAGCTTGTTTTTTGTATGCAATTCCCTGATAATTTTTTTGTTACACACAGTTGGTTCACCTTCCACCCGCCGACATAACCTAGTATATAGACCAGAAATGTCATAAGATAATTGAATAGATCATCCATTTGATGCACCTGCGCAGTATATATTTACGTCAACGCTGCATGTCTTTGATCTCTGTTTTGGAGTTTTATAAAATAGTTATTTATGTATCAAGGGCGTAAAGTAGGCGTTTATGGCCCGTGGCGTGAATAATGGCCCGATGGCGCTAGCCGAGGGCCATTATACGCTGAAGGCCATAAACGCATTTTACGCACGTGATACATACAAAATTTTATGCACTAGTGGTTTATTTCCCGAGTCACAAGTAATGACTAGATTTCAACAAACTTCAATTCATGTCACTCATAAATTCAGTTTTCAAGGGAAGCGCAATGTTTATGTGTAGATTCATTCCTTGAGATGTAACAATATGTATACCCAGTATATAGCTACCTAAATTTGACGTCAATCAATCTGATGTTGCTGTCTAGCAATACATCCAAAAAACAAGCTGAAATTGTCATCTTTTCGCTGCAAATTTCAGACAGCCAGAAGGCAACTATTCGAAGAAGGAAGTTATAGTGAAGATGGAATCATAGATGAACAATATAACATGTATCATAACCATAACGATAGAATCTGCTGAGAGTTCAAATATATGGGTATTCCACAAATGGATGTGTGGATATAAGGGACTCGAGAACAGCGGGCGGTAAAGTGCACTTTATGGCCCGTGGGCGATAATGGGCCCGCGGGCGGTAAAGTACTACTTTACTGCCGCAAATCTGGGCGATAAAGTGCACTTTACCGCCCGCTAGTGCATAAACACAATTATGTCTATACTCGGAGATTTTATCAGAGCCGGCTTCTCTGTAATCTCAGTATCGTCAGTCAGCAATTTTTACGTTGTTTGTAGTGTATTGTACAGGGTGGGCCGAATTGCGCAGTTTTGAAGGGAAAGTCCTATTTCCGTACAAGATAGAAAAAAACTGATGTCGGTGCCTGTTCATCAATTCACATGAGAAACTTGGTGAAAACCGCATATCGATATCTATCTTTATTTCAGAGTTACAAGGCGTTTTTCGAAAAGAGGCTTGAAATCCTTTTTTGCAAAAGTTCTTCGTTTTCATGAAAACATTTCCAAAGCATTGTGTTTGTCATATACAGGGTATGTCACGATGAGCATACACTATCTTTATATCGAGAATCAGTCGGGAGAAATCCATGAAAATGTGCATGCTCCTATTCGAGAATACGCTCTCCTCATTCAAAATATTTTCGACAATGCAGTGTTGCCACTTCTAGTAGAAAGTAGTAGCAACACTGATATTTCAAATGGAACACCCTGTATTTTATCGCATTTTTAGATTCTCCCTGGAGAGCTGATTTCATCGATGCATCACATTTGGGGTCTATCGAAAATGATTACAGAGATATAGGGTGTTCAAAATCGAGATTTTTCAACTTTAGCATTTTTTTGTATCCAAACTATTCATTATCGGTCGAAACGGCTTACATGTCCCTATCTTAACTTTTGATTCACTATCCACTGATATTTGGTTCAAGATTCAGAATTTTGATCACCCTGTATCTGTTCCGATTAAATATCAGTAAATAGTAAATCAAGAGTTGAGATAGGGACATGTGAGCCGTTTTGGCCGATAATGAATAGTTTCCACAACAACCTATATCTCTGTAATCATTTCCGATACCCAAGTTTAATGTATCGTTGAAATCAGCTCTTCAGGAAGATTCTAAAAATGCAATAAAATACAGGGTATTCTATTTGGAATAACAAAGTTGTTGCTACTTTTTGATAGAAGCGGCAACACTGCATTGCTGAAATTATTTTAAATTGAGAGAGCCTATTTTGAAATATGAGCAGGCATATTTTCATGGATTACTTTCGACTGATTCTCGATATAGAGATAGTGTAAGCTCGTCGTGACATACCCTGTATAGGGATCACATCCATTGTTTTCTTTCAGCTCATCTAAATATCTCTTCTGGAGATCCATAGACAATGTATTGAAATAATCACTTTTATCAGCCATCCTACAAACAGTATTCTTGCAAGCAAGTAGAAAAATGATATCAATTATAAGATTAATCGACTTACCTGTAGGACGATTAATATTAATTTTCCGAGCTTGTCCGTAGATATAATTACTACCCTGTAGTATCCGTGAATCATATTCTTGGCACGACGTTCAGAGCAAAAAACTGTTTATCTATTACCTGCTTATCGCCTATCGTTGGCCGGCCCCTGGGAGTCATTCCGTTGGCGTGCAAAATCGCTCCTATGGGTACCTGTACTTTGCAGTGGAGGGTGGGTTTGTAATTATATCTACGGACAAGCTCGGAAAATTAATATTAATCGTCCTACAGGTAAGTCGATTAATCTTATAATTTTCCTTCGCTTGTCCTTGATATAATTACTACCCTGTAGATGTTTAGAGTGAAAAGCGATTTTGTAGTGGCGAAAATGTATTCAACAAAATTAATTATACAATCGCTATATTGAATTATTATAACATAATAATATTCATATAAGCCTAGTAATAACTAGATGATAATTAACAAAAAATGGCACTTAACAATAGTTTGCGATAAGGAAGATATTTGAATGCATTCAGATATCATCATATAGAACTTATAATATAATTGTTTGGGGTTGCCCTATTAAGTTCAATACCGATTTATTTTTCCCTGTTCAACACTGTTTTTGCAAATATTTCCCTGGGTTCAATCAAGGGCCTATTATAAAAATTGAAAAATGTGTTGGAGGACGGAGTCCACCCCGCCGTATGGCGTATTAAATCAATGTTTACACCTCTTCTGGCAGCCGCTGAAGTTGATGCGTGGCGAGTACTATGGGCGGAAAAAACTGTAGTGTCAATTCCTCCCAAGTTCAATACTATTTTGAGCCAGCGACTTATAGTTTGCGATGTCGCTGGGTGGAAAGGTTTTTTATGAGTTAAAATTAGTTGCTCATACTTTCCGCGATATTGTGAAGTTTTTTCAAGATAAGCTCCAATAGTGTGCGCCACGCATAATTCAGGTGTTTCCCTAAAAAAGGGGAATATCAAGAGTGGTTGCATTTTATTTGGAGCCGATGTTTTGATTTTTTCTGATATTCGTATTTCTATGTTTTGTTCGTTTTCTAATATGTCCCTTATTTTTATTTTTGATAAAGTTTGTACTCTACTGGCAGATGCAATTGCCATTAGGAACACTAGTTTATAGGTTAATTGTTCTAAATTCAAGGAATTCAATGGGTACCAGGTTTTTATGACTGACAGTACAGAATCAGGATTCCATGTGAAAGGATATTTCGGTTTGGGAGGTTTTATATTTGCTACGCCTTTCAGGAACCTGTTAATGTACTTTGAGTCTTGTTCATTCGGCGAGAATATTAGGTTTAAAGCCGATCTGTAGGAGTTGATAACAGAATAAGACATTCCGTTGTCCAATACCTCTCTCAAAAATTCCAAGTAAGTTCCTATATTGTACATGAAAGGGTCGGAATGTTGTTTTTGTTTGCAAAAATCCCAGTATTTTTTAAAACAATTGGAGTACTGCTTGAGGGTGCCTTCTGATAGAGAATCGATCATGGTTGATATCGCTGTTGCTGGAATTCCCCTTTTCTGATAAGCGATCCTGACAATTTCCCTGCCACCAGGGAAAGGTTCTTGGACAGGGGGTGCCTGGTCCTAAACGGAGATACCAGTAAGTTAGGACTTGGTTTAAAGAGCATCGGTTCGTTTATCAAAAGTTTTTGAAAAATAGGGAACCAGGGTTGTGAGGGCCAGTTTGGAACTATCATTATGCCTAGCGCTTTTTCTTGAATAATTTTTTCCAAGGCCCGCGCAACGCACGAAAAAGGCGGAAAAGCGTAAAAATAATGTGTACTCCAAGGAACAGTGAAGGCATCTATTGAGAAGGAGTTCGGATCAGGGAACCAAGAAATGTATTTTTCGCATTTATTATTGATTCGGGATGCGAATAAATCTATTTCTGGTGTCCCGAAATTTCTAGTAATGCTCTTGAAAGCATAATGGTTTAATTGATATTCTGTATCGATTGATAATGATCTGGATTCTTTGTCGGCTCTTATATTTTCTGACGACGTAATGTAACTTGCAAATACTGTTAAGTTATTATTTTCGCACCATTCCCAAATAAGCTTCGTAGCATAATTTAGATGTTGAAATTTCACACTGCCCCCTCGATTGATGCAGGATATAGCAGTTTGATTATCAATTCTTAATAAAATTCGTTTGTTACTTTCATTTTTGGTTAAAGATTTCAATGCATAATATGCTGCTTTTATTTCTAGGAAATTTATGTGCATTTGAGATTCTTTTTCATCCCAGAACCCATGGAAGGCTTTTTTCCCACAAAAGGCGCCCCAACCAGAGGGTGAAGCGTCTGAAAAAATTTCTAATGCAAATTGTTGTGGTTTCATGTTCTGTCCTTTTCCTACATTCTTGGCCCACCACGATAACTCGATTCTAAGTGAGTCAGGTATTTCCATAGTATTGTTGTAGTTTCGAAAGTCATTCCGAATGGCTGAATGTTTAATTCTTTCGAACATTTTTAAATGAGTATATCCGTATTTTGTTGCCGGACATGACGCTACTAAATTTCCTATGAGTTGTGAAAAAGTTCTAACAGTGCATTGTTTTTTTCTTTTGAACTCCTCAATTCTGCGTTTTATCATTTGAATTTTTTCTTCCGGTAAGGAAATTTTCATGCTCAAGGAATCAAAAGAAAAGCCGAGAAAAGTGATACTTCGTTGCGGCTCTAATATGCTTTTTTTTGTATTTATTATAAAACCTAAATTTGTTAGCAAGTCTGTTGTGGTTTTTATGTGTCTTTCGCATTCTGCCTTGGTATCGGCAATAAGTAAAATATCATCCAGGTAAAATACCAACAGGATATTTGATTTTCTTAGAAATCCAACCACTTGTTTGAGTACTTTGGTGAAAATAAAAGGTGCTACACTAAGACCAAATGGGAGTGAGTTGAACTCAAATAAGTTATTCATGAATTTAAATCTTAGGTATTTTCGATATTTTTTCTGTACTGATAGTAAGAAATAAGCATCTTTGAGGTCAACTTTTGCTAAATAAGAATTATGAGTTAACAGTTTCAACACTGTTCTATGGTCTTCCAATTTGAAATGTGGAGCGTCCATGTAATTATTGAGTTTTTTTAGATTTAAAATAAATCTGTTTTCTCCATTAGGTTTTTTTCTCAAAAAGTATGACGACAAAAATTGACCTTTTTTTGGAAGGCATTTTGAAATAGCCCCGATTTCTATCAAGTTATTAATAGAATTAAGATAGTCTTTGAGCTGACATTTTGTTATGTTGACTTTTGGCTCTTGTATTTGTTTAGGCTTAGTATGCAGAGGAAGCACTATGCCTTCAACCCAGTGTAAAACTGCTCGGTCTTGCGTAATATTTTTCCACGCGTGTGAAAACTTACTTAAGCGACCTGCGTATTTAGTTACCTTGTGCAAACAGCCTATTTTCTGCGATGAGATTTCTGTTCCTTGTACTGGTTCCATTTGTTTCTCCCCATTGGCGACTTCTCCTCCCCCCTTTGTTCTTTGAATTTCCCCTTGTATTGGGGGCGCTGGTAGTTTAAAGAATGCCGGTTTTTTTGTTGGATTCCAGAGGTTCCGGCTGTCAAGGTCATTGAGGTTTTCTTCTTCAGGTGAACGCTTGATTTTTTCAAAGCTTGATCATTCTTGAAGACTTCGTGAAAATCTTTCCCAAACAGATTCTCGTCCATCCTTATGGTTTTGGCCACTTTAGCACAATCAGGATGTAAATGTGGCAAAATTTTGTACTTTCTGTGTACGGAAAGCGCATTGTGTACATTCGCAATTATTTGACACGCCTCCCCCATAATTATTGTGTCGTTAGCCAGTTCTGCGACTGACAGATTCTTGTTGATGATGGTAGCAATGGCTGAGAGACCATGGGCTAGTTGCAACTGTAAAGTTGTGACGAATTTATCATGCTTGATAGCTCCGTCTGGGAGGCATGTCTGTATTTCCTCGTTCGTTTTTGGAGGAATCAATTGTAAGCAATTTTGCGGAATTTTAAATTTTTCCGTGATTTCAGTTCTTTGTGAACTCGTTAACCCTGATTGTAGCACTGCACTCCATCGTACTGCTATTTCATTATGAATTGCGGCACCGATTTGTGCATTTTCTACAGGTTTGTTGCCAAAAGAATCGAAGTTTATTTCTGCCTGTTCCACTGAAGGAGTTAAGGTATGTATTTCCTCGTTATTCTGTTCTATATCCGAAGAAGAGTCTACAGAGAAGAAAGAGAAAATAAAAATTATTTTCACGTACTTGATTGTTATGATAACTTATGTAATCTACAATTTTTGTTGTTGGCATGGTAACGCGTGTTACCTAAAAATGGCGAACATATGTTGCCTGAGATTTGTTGCACAACGTGATAATGCACTTTCCTTTGTTATTTCGTGTTAGCGGGATAACGCGTGTTATCCTTTGATTTGGCGAGCGCATGCTGCCCGAGAGTATATTTTGGAAATTGCACGATTCCAGCGGATAACGCGTGTTATCCTTTGATTTGGCGAGCGCATGCTGCCCGAGAGTATATTTTGGAAATCGCGCGATTCCACTCTCATTTTGTTAAGTTATGTTATTAAATACCTGATGTTTCGCTAGATGAAGTCGAAGAAGAGTCGCTTGATTCCATTAGATGAAGTTTTTCCTGTATTTTCTTGAGTTTTTTATTGAGCTTTTTCACTTCATATTTCTTATCAGCACTACTAATTTTACGTTTCGGCATTTTGATACACAATTCAGTTCACTTCACTATTAAATTTTCGACGCGTACCTTGAACACGACAAAACGGAATGACTCCCAGGGGCCGGCCAACGATAGGCGATAAGCAGGTAATAGATAAACAGTTTTTTGCTCTGAACGTCGTGCCAAGAATATGATTCACGGATACTACAGGGTAGTAATTATATCAAGGACAAGCGAAGGAAAATATACATTATGTTCCCTTCCTTTAGGTAAAAACCTATAAATTGCTCAGAATTTCAATTATAATATCATTAAATTATCATTGTTGTTTATGGAAAAATGGTTTGTTTGTCCAGCAGGCTGATTGACAGCTAAAGACAGCTGTCATGTGACGTCACCTGCCTCGCCCTATTGATGACACTAATAACGGTTATGACAAATTAAGGATTAAGAACGTTCAAAAAATTTGCAACCGATAGCGCGATAGCTATTTTGACTTTATAACTACCAATCGTATACTGTAATATCGCCATTCCAGTTATTAATGAAGACCTTAAAACTATTTAAACATATTTTGCGAAATATCAAGATTGTGAGCACCAGTAAAACCCTGAATACAAAAAATCCATTCACTGGCCTATCAAGGCCAATAACTTTTTATTGATATGCTGAAAAATAAAGTTTCAGATTGCAATTTCCTTCTTCCAGCGATTTGAACTTTATATTGGGTTCCAGAACTCACTTTTTCATTCAAAGTGGTAAATTATAAAGAAAAAAACACCAGTAATCTCAATTAATCCTCAAAATATAATAAAAAAACTTGATCATGAGCAACCTAATTCGCACACAAAATGCCATTTTATAAATACTGAACTCATCAAAAATTAGAGCTTAACCTATATTATACCCTACTATATACAAAGAAAATTCAATTAAATCCTCGAAATAAAATAAATTCAATGTGAATAGGCACTATAAGAACTTTTTGATATTGGTTTTCAAGTGGCGGCCCTGGGAGGGGTTCACTTTAATTTTCAACTGTTGGATCAGATCGTAAATTTTCAATGAAGGCCCCACTTTGCCCCCTGTGATGTCCAACATTTCTTCCTTGGTGAGATTTAACATGATTTTGCCATCAACTTTCTGGAACAAAGAAATATAATGTTTCACTAAACTCTGACACACTCATAAAATCAATGCAATGTCAAAATCATCCGGTTGGCCACGAAAAAAAAATCAGCTTATAATGTATAGTTAGAAAGGGTAGGTATTTTCTTCAAATCATTTGTGTATTTTATTCTTCACCCTTTGATATTTCCAACAACTATATAAATTAGTTTTTTCTGTGACTGGAAAAAAGTTTGGCATTTCATCTTTGTTGGCAGGTTATAAAATGTCATTTTTCATAAATTACTTTTTTCCCGGATATATATCACATTTATATACACTGTTGATGGCTTTTGTTGTGCTATAGTTCCGAAAAATGAGTCAATAATACCGTCTCCGAGAAAGAACTGCAAGTCCTTTTATCTTCCATTCGACTTCGCGGTTACGTATATTACTAAACAACCACTAAATTCGCAATTTTTTGAAATCAAATCACAGAATTAGACTGACAGAAGTGATATCAGTTATTAGATTACTTCAGAAGAATGATGAAGATGCCTACAACACAGTTGTCCCTACTGTTACAAACTTAAAATTTCATGTCGATAATTTTCAGATTTCAAAATAATGTAATATCTTCTCAATATTGATTCGTTCTTTCTTCTGTCACAGAAAAAAATAGTGTATTATACACGGGAAAAATATTCGCTCGCTAGACTCGGCTATGAACGATCAGCCGCGGCAGTCAACCTACTAATTTCCTGTCTAGTAAAACAAATATAACTATTTCCTGAGATTTTGATGAACCAAATATTAGGTATTAACTGCATTGCTTTCTCCTTCAGATTTGAATCAATCTAATGAAAAATACAGCAAGCTGTATAGTTTAAGAATCTCTTGCAAAAATCAAAACAGCAAAGAATAGTTATTTGTTTTAGTAGGTAGAAAAGCACAAGAATTAATGCCGCGGCTGGCGTTTCACAGCCAAGGCGTAGCCGATGCTAGGAAACCACCCACAATAGATTGCATTTAAAAAAAGCATTACTCGAAAAAGGCTTCATCGACTGGGCGAATGGATTGATAATGAATTATTTGCATTAAATTACTCCACTGTGTCCTTAGGAACCTTAATTAATTTTTGCAACACATCTCACGTTTTTTATGTAAATAATAACGATACGTCGAATAAATGGTGACGTTAGAGTTTTTATGCTGTTTCGTTATTGGTCATATAATCTTCCATTTCCACTCATGAAGCAAGGTTGTCAAGTCACCAATTATAATCAAGTTATCAAAAAGATATTTAGAGTCCCTCCGTTGAATAAAACATAATAGTAGGAGCTCATGACATAGTTTATTCTTGACTTTTTCGAGCAACCAGCATGTCCAAATATTTCTCATTCTCCATAACAAAATATCATGTGAATGTTGGAGACTTGGCAACATTGTGCTGAATGCTGGAAACTGACAAGACCACGCCCACAAGTCGTACGCGGGGTTGTCACGTTCACCGATTGTGTCCTCTAGTGTGAATTAATATAATTATTATTTACACAAATTTATTATAAGCCATAAGACACAAACCAAAGGTGTTAGAGAGTCACTATTCATGGTAGCTAGAAACGCCCTGTAAGTGAAGTTCCTTTGCGAATATGAGTGTTGACCTGTTGATGACACACGAGGATTACGTAAAGGGTGACGGGTAGTCCGTAGTATTTATCTATGTATGAGACATTATTAAATTAGTCGTGATACGGTCAGGTAGTGGGTAATTGTGAATACAGTATGTTTCATTCCAATAATAAATCACCAAGCTAATGATATCAACCCTGTAAAATATATCTACCTACGTATAGCTTAAGAATTTGTGGTGACGGGTTTATTATATAAGATATAACAATGAGTTGGGATACAACAGTTTTTGGGGATTACTCATGATAAGGATATCGTTTGTGAATTAGTATTGAGAGAACGGTCGATGAATAAACACGTTAAGTTAATACCAACGAGTCTAATTTCACATGGTGCTAACACTAACATCAGAAGTGGACAGAAGATCAACCATGCCCAAGTCCAAGAATTAGTCGAGTCTTTTCACAAAAATACCTGTTCCGACAGGGATGCCTTGACACCAGAGCCCTCGGAAGATGAGATGTCAACAGTTAGCCTTCGGAAACACCGTCGAACTGATAGTTACAGATGTTCGCAACAATGTGTTAAGCAAGTTAGTCAAGTTTCTACTGGGGTGAGTAACGCAAAACATGTTCCTTGGAGTAGTAATATGATAATTTCAACTATAATTCCTGTATTCAACCCGATGAAAGCTAGTATTGAGAAGTGGTTAGAAAATAATAGATTACTATGCTGGTGTACATCGTTGGAATGACTCAACTATCAAATATCAGGCTCTCGGTAAAGTGAGAGGAACTGCGCAAATTTGGTACCAGGGGATGATTCGGAATGAATTGGGGTGGTCAAAATCTACCTGTGAATCGAACCGAAATTTTTATAAAATGCTTATAGAGCTAGTAAACCATAGACCAAAAGTGGGTGCCTGTCTTTACAAGTATCATTTTCACCATCTTTCGAAAATAGATAGCTCGCAAATAAATTTGAGTGAAATAGATAAAATTTCCCTGATTGTTGGGGGTATAGCAGATGAGAATATCAGCTCAGCTATCGAAACCTCTAATATCACAGATTTGAATATACTATCTAGCTATTTGAGAAACAAAGTCAAGGCAGTTCATTCAAAGTCCAAGGGCTTTCAAAATTTTAACAAATAATCATTTCCATCTACAAGCAATGCATCATTCCAAAATATGCCGCCGAGGTATTCCAAAAATTTATTTCGAGAAAACAAGAACCAAATTTTACATAGTAAATGTTACTCATGCAGTAGTTCAGCATATCACAGTAACCAATGTGCACACAAGGAAAAAAACATGATTAGTGTGAGGCCCCCCTATTTGTTAAATACTGTCTGTAGGTTAATCTTCAGTTCCACAAACTTGAAGTTTTTTATATAAAACTGTCTCACGCGGAAAATAATATTTTGCATTTTTATGTTGAGAACGGGAGCTGATTCGTTACCGAAACGTCTAAAGATGAGTGAAAATTCGATATTTTTTCAATATATCTATATTTCTTCTAAAAACTTTTTTCAAACAAAGCATCACTGACAAGCTATTGGATTTTTCTTTTGGCCTTCCTGATAGAAACGTTTTTCAAACGAAATAATACTCATATTTTTATTTTGTAGAAACGAGGAGAAAATCCCAAATAATCCAGTAAAATGAATGTAACACCTCCTCGATTAATCTACAGACAGTATTTAGGAAATATTTGATTGTTAGTTTGTTTCTATTGAATAGGCTCCGAAACTACTGGATCGATTTGAAAAATTATTTTACTATTAGAAGCCGACATTATCCCTGATGAACATAAGCTACTTTTTACCGCGGTAAAATGTTTCATTCGTACGGGAAAACGGGTAATAGGACTACAGGTAGTAAGAAATAGATACTGTCTACACGACCGCCGAAATAGGTAACCGCTGCGGCGGTTGTTTATGTTTCAGTATCCAACCGCCGCGGCGGTCGTGTAGACAGTGCCTAAGAAATTTCCTTCCGTACTTATCTTTTTCACATAACTTCTAAACGGCTGAATCGATTGGGTTTAAATTTTATATGGGTATTTCAATGGCTTCCTGGATGATTTATTGGACGAGATAGGTGGCGCTGCCGTCGATACGTCAACTACTAAACGGCTTGATCGATTGGGTACAATTTTGTAATACTTAAAATAACGAAAAAATACAAAAGATACTTAGAGAATGAAGATAGGTGATGATAGTAGATATAGGTAAGCACAAAAAAAATTAAAAAAACGAAAAATATGTACTGCAGTTACGCGCATAGCTCAGAACATTTGCAACAGATGTCTTTTTTTTTTCAAGTGGGTACACTGAAGTCCGTATGTCACTGGCCAGTTTTTCACTCATACAGTGGATCATTATTGAACACAATAAATCATTCAGAATAACCTGAATCATTTTCTGAGGGAAAATTCTGTGCTGTGTGACACGACATAAGATCACAGATGATATTGTGACAGGGGTATGCGCATGTTATGAAATAATATAATATGCAGATACACATGGCGGTTGTGAGTGTATAGTAACCTCAAAATATATTATTGGAAGAAGATATTCAAAATTGAAGAATGGTATAAGTAATAGTTTCTCTTAAAAAAATATCTGTCTGCAGTTCTGCAAAAGTGGGTGCTATACTCAGCGTATTTGTTTAAAAAAATCGGAATAGAAAAATATAAAAAAATTGTCTCCTGAATCGCTCCAAAGAAGAAACACCCGTGGGCTAGGAGTTCTGAATATGGTACAAAATAAACACCTTTCTGGTAACTCTGTATCATATAAGTATCAAATTTCATAAGAATGAATAATGATCGGTTCACTTTTGTTCTGGACAAAATAAACTAAAAAAGATACAAACATGCGAGAATGTATTTCACCAGAAACGAAGTAGGTACTCAAGCCACATTTCATCTTTGTGACAAATATGTCAAAGCGTCCAATCGAGTGTTTCTGGGTGTTTGATTGCAAACAAACAGGGATATTTTTGGTATTCATTAAAGCACCAACATATGCTCCGAAGTCCAAACCATCATAGAACTGCCGTTATCTAAATTTGAGATAACAGTAAAATTAATCAGTGGACCTTTTCAAAATACCAATAAAGTGACAAAAAAGTATTTCTCACTTCAAAACGAAACAAACAATTCGAAGGTTACATAACGGAATGGGCGTGTACACCTTAGTAGAACTTTCAACTCAAACCATGTTTATAATGATCCTTTTATACATAAATAACGATTGGCGACATAATTCCATCTAAAAATTAACTGGAATGTTTTATTTTTGGACATAAATAATAGTACCTTCTGAAAACAGACCCTCTTTATGACGTAGAAACCTCATCTCGCCTGGAACCAATGAGCGTGACCCATAGAGTGACCCATGTGTGACACTTATCACTGTTGCCATATCATCTAAAGAAAATATCCGAGAGATCGAAATCGATATTGAAATATCTTTTGATATCAACTACCACTACTGCAGAAAAATATATTCAACTTGTCGATGGTAGGTTGAATCATTAGAATATAAACAATCTCTTGACAACGAAATGTCTCAATCTCAAAACCATTTGCACCATGACAATTTCCAATAATCCAATATATTTCATGAACGCAGCAACATTGCTTTGTTGACCCGTTTCACATGGAGCTGCATTTGCATCGAGTCTCGAATTCCGATTCCGAAGTTATTTATGTCGTCTAAAATGAGAAGAGAAGACACGTAATGAAATTAACCTCCAAATCTTGCTTTATATCATATTAATACATAATAATATTATTGATATATTGAATATAAACATGAACGTTGAATCAGGATTTGTAAAAGGATCATCAGATATAATCTACCGAAAATTGATTTGGAAATGGTTAATTATTTTTATGTCTCTAACATACTAGAAAATCTCCACAGTTCCTCAGTGCTGAAATGAGGAATAGAAAATCTGAAAAGTAAGTTCCACAATATTCATTCAATTATCATTGCTTGTACCTATTATAGTTGCATTGGAAAATTGTTCACCTGAAAGGATATTTAACATCAGAATACCCATCATATGGAGATTCCGAGGGAGAATCCTCATTAAATCAGTCACTGATCGATATGTTTACCTATGCAACAATATGATCAATTGGTATGAAACAATGTTATTCCCAAGACTAGATACTGCTTGCATCTCCCCCTGAATGTTCTTCTAGGAGATGGATCATTCATTCTTCAAGCAATTTCCCTATGAATTTCTGCAAAGCAAAACTACTACTATAATATTGTGTTTACTCAGTGAGGGGCGAGATTTGTTCTCAAAATTCCCAGCTAAATGATGTTTTTTTAATTGCAATTAGGCACAGAACATTTCTCAATCATACTTTTGTCGAAATATTTCAATTTAATATTCGAAAGTTGCAGAAACTTTATATAGGTTAGAATTGATCTTCTTCTTGTTCTTATCATCTATGTCCCAAAAATCAACTTGCCGATTCACCAATCTTGGTGCTTTGTGAGAAATCATGTATCTAAGATCACATGTATCATTCATCTCTGTCTGGAATAGTCTTGTTTCAGTATTAGGGTTTTGACGTCACATCATCGCCTCGTTTTCAGAGGTCCGAAAAATCGGGGATTTCAATATTTTTTTATAAATCGTAGGGAGCTCACAGCAAGAAACAGTTTGCGGTGGTGAGCTAGTTTGGGTGAGTTCTATCGAATTATGAAATAAAATGTTTTTGTGATATAAGCCCATTATGCGCAAGTGCTTCAACATAAAATGAATGAAAAATAGGACATGTTCTATTTTTCATCCAATTTTGCATTCAGACTCCCTGTTTCTGTAATACACGGTGCAGTAAATTCTGATTACAAATTCTCATTCAGAAAATGGATGAAAAACTGACCCTGTCATACGGGCTTAACCATGCGAAGCCGGGTCGGACAACTATAGTGACTTATAAAGACAAAGTAATTTCAATTGCATTTTCAATGTTCATATTTTATATTTATAACCAATCTTCTGAAACTGATGTCATCAAATGAAAGATTTAATTTTGTCAGAAAGAAATTAACGATATCCAACTTAGGCGAAAATTATACAGAATGCAAGAAGATTTGAAGCCAATATATACACTGATTATCGAGAGTTGAGAACAGTCAAATTGAATAGGTGACATTCAATTTTTTTTTATGATCAGTTATTATTTTTCATCTCTATTCAAAACAATGATGTTCTTAGGGAGAAGAACAATTAATTTGTCAAATGAAAAAATAAAAAATATAGTTCCGTGTGTAAAGTTCTCCATTTTGTGCGCAACGTGCGTTTCAAAACTCTTGTAATATACTATTTCAACATAAACCATCTTGAAGAACACAACTATTTATTACCTGTTTACTAAAAGAGTCACAATAGTTGGCGCAGTCGTTAACTCTCAAGAACTGAGCCACGTCGAAGACATTCCATTCCTCAGGACACAATTCACCTCCTGCTTCATGTTTTTCCCCAGTGGCATCAATTAATCTCGGTATCACCTTTGGACTAGAATTGTTTGCACCCTGAAAATTATTCAAAGGAATAAATTAATCTCGGAAATGTAAAAAATAAATCTTGAATAAGTAGTATGGTGAATGCTTAAAGGGTATCTCAGTTGCAACGACACATGCGTTTGCAATGACAGTTTCGAAATTCAAACGTTATCTAATGACACATAAATGGCATCCATTGACATATCATCCCAAAGAAACCACCATCTTGAATTCTTGGAATTCATTTCTGATGATGTCAAATGAGAGCAATCAGGATAGCCAACAAGGATTATCAGGCCTGATCGTTTGTGCTGCTGAGATTGATTTTTATTCTATGACTATCTTTGTTTATATGCGAGAAAACCTTGGCAGGTTCATCACAACACATCGAGTTAGTGCTGTCGAAATATAATCATGAAATTTTGAAAAAAAAAAACATACACTGGACGGGAATACCGAATAATGCCTATCAAACATCAAATTGTTGAAAGAATTCGAGATCAGAGTAAGTTACACTCTCGGCAGCAGTTTCAAGTTATCAGTATGAAATTATGTTTTAATAGGTTAGGAAAAGCATTCCTTCATTGGTTAAGTTCAAGCAGTGAGCTTTGTAATCTCACAAACTTCCTCTTGTTCATTGGTGTCAATTCAGGATACATTTGGTTGAATTTTCTGCAAGTTCTGGCAATGATTTGATCACATTGTCCGTGTATAATAAATAACTTCATAAGAACTTCGTTTGAATAATCGATATTCGCGTTCATTCTGGGAGATTTTTTGAACCACTGTCAATAACAATTACTGAATTACTCATTAATGTCATCGAACTGCCATGAGTTCGATATTTCCATGGCTATCTAAAATTAACTTTTTAAAAATTTTTTTTCACAAAAAGCGGCTTTATTAGGAAAACTTGATGATTTAGGTATAGGCGATTCATGCTAAGGAGTACTCCCTCTACCGTTGTCTAAAATAACTAACGTATGGGCCATTGATTGCTTTGTTTACATTAGTTTGCGTGTATTTTGTATGAGAAGTAGTTGTGTTTTAATTGTCTATAATTTTGTTTGAGAACTTCTATAAACGTTTAAAAACATGAGTCATCATTGTTGTTTACCTCATTGTTCATCTTGAGCAAAAAAATCCAGAGTATAGCTTTCATTCCTTTCAAAAATCAGGACAGTCTAAATTTGTATTTGAAACTAATAATTTGGGAAACAAGGAAGTGATCGGTAGGAGAAAGGCGTGGATTCATAACTTGAAGATTGGAAAACCAGAATGAAAAGTCCAACCAGTGGTAGAATTTCAAGTTTTTTGAAGAGGCTACGACATGAGAATGTATATGATACTCCTGCAATCGATCTAATGATCCTTTTTTGAGAAATGAATACGTCCTGTACGCCTGTTGAGTTTCCCCATAACATTATTCCATATGATAAACATAATGAGATATTGTTCTTTACACTTCACTGAGAATTTACTCATACCTATAGGTATATTTTCAAATGTATGTCTATTATGAATATAATACCTACTTCTTGAGGTGGTGGTAAAAGAACAAACAAATTTCAAACTGATTATATCTTTACTGATGAACAGTAGAATTTTTAAACAGTAAAGAATGTTATCAATCAGGGTTTCGATGATTATGTTGTAGAAAGTCAAGTAGAAACTGTTTACCTAAATTCACCTTCCAAAGAACACTTTATTCCCAAAAAGTTTGCTGGATTTTGTTTTAAAAATATCATGCACTATCAGGGGAATATCCCAGCTATATATTCGAATTGGAAATCAACATCCCACACAGGTTTTCATGAGAATTCTTGTTCAATAATGATAAAAATGATGTTGGTATATATGAAGTTCAACTAGAGGTAGGGAGGTTATCTAATGTTGAACAGAGATAATATAGTCCTCAATCAAAACACAGTAGACCGCTGGAAAATACAAAGTTCGAAAATAGACAAATAACAAAGCTGGACGTTTGAAAACTCAAAACGAAATGAACATAAACACCATTACCAAACAATGTAAACAATCCGCAATGGCCCATAGAGTAGTACCGACATTCGTCGTTTTGGCGCTACGATCTTAATCTCAGTCGCCTATAGGGACATACCATGTCATCTTGTAGCATTTTTATTCGTCTTTCAATTTATTGAGCAAAAAACATTTGAAAAAATGAACTTTTGATCACTTGTATGAACAACGGATATAATAATAATTCCAGCACGCCCTGTATGATATGGAGGCGACTTCTCGGTGTAAATTGAATACATCAAGCCTGTCCAAACCACCACTAAAATATCAACTCTATATGATTCGAGAGCCCTGATTTACATACATTTAATTAGGGATATGTTTTGGATCATATTTAACACAAATTATTTTTTATCTCGAAAACCGATAGAGATAGGTATAGGGATTTATTAACAAAAGAGTATTGTAATAGAAAGGCAATTCTAAAAATTTGTTAATATACGGGGTCTTCCATTTAAAAAAATGAAGTTGCTAGGACTTTTTGATAGAAACGGCAACGTCGCAATTTCGAAAATATTTTAGATCGATAGAACAGGTGATAAAATGTAAGATGCGAAATTTTCAGAAAAATCCTGCGTTGCGTTCTCCATAAACGTCTAGCGTACCATCGACCGTGAGTTACCCTGTATACTTTAAAACTCGTCGTTTTCGAGATATAGGGTGTTGAAAATACGAGTCTGAATATCATTTTTTGATAAATCAACAAAATTTCTCACAAATAATAAACTTTTCACGCTATTTTTTGAAAAGTACGCAAACTTGGTCAATTTTCAACTGGTTCTATCTCCGCACTCGTTAGTCCTACATTGATGAGCAATAACAATTATATTTAGGAAATTTCATCTACTTCAACTTTCTATAAGGCGGTCTTTTCGATATAACGTATAATTTCCGAGTTACGGGCAAAAAACCGAAAAAAGTCCGTAAATTTTGCTGTTTTTTACGAATATCTCGGAACGCTCCAGGAAATTTTGTTTGCAAAATTCAGATTGGAATTCATAATCTTCAAAAACATATGAAACCAGAGAAACCGAATCCTTTTTTTCCAAGTGAAAATACTATTTTATTGGACATTATGGCGAAAAAGGGTCAAATTGTACGGTACACTGAAAAGGACCATTACTATCGACTCGCACTTACACTAACGTACGAAGTGGCCTTCCTCTCGGCCGGCGGCACCACCTCGGCCGCCAACGCCGCCACAACCTCGGCCGAAACCGGCATGCTCTGATCAGGCCCGGCAGGCTCCTGGCCGGCCTCGGGGCCCTGGTGGCAGTGGTCGTCACACGACGCATCTTCCTCCTTTTCCGCTTCTTCTTCGTCTTCCACCGCCACCGTCATCGCGGTCTCAGCATGGAAGGGGAGCGAGACGTCGGGCACTTCCGCTTCTTCCTCTTCGGCTCGTTCTTCTTCTTCTGTTTTCACGTCGGAGGTAGGGACGAATTTGTCGTTGCCGCCGTCGTCGTAGGAGGTGGTGGTGGCCGGTAGCAGCACGGGCGGCGACGGTTTCGGGGGGCTGTCTTTGGGGGCGGTCTTCTTTTTTCTGCTCTTTTTCTTCACTGGAAGATAATTCGATCGTTTCATCGATTGGGAACACGGAGAATAATCAAATGTGTATTATTGTCTAACGAGAATTACCTCATTGGCAAAAAACGTAGTACTCTGCTTCAAGTGTAACCTCCTTCCTGTTTTGGGGTAGAATGAACGATTCACTTTTTTTTTCAGAATGTTCTACTAAAAAAAAAATAGTCTAGATGCTCTACGCATTCAATTTCATTCATCATTTTAAGGCCTCACAATTATCACAAAAGAGAAAGTCAAGAATATCCAATAGACAAACTAAGTATAAAAAAACTGATGTCGTTATCTGAAGGAATATAAGGCCTTTTCGATTGTGTCCACTGATCTTGCTGAAATTGTTTTATTTTTATGACTTTCTCTGTTTACATTATGCGATGAACAAAGATAACTATTCGCGATAGAAAATTAGCGTACTCTACCTATCGGAGTTCTTGAATGCTGTCAAAGCGGCCTGTTTACTTTGTTTTCATTGGTTCACAATTGTTTTTTGTTTGTGCGCATTGGTCATATCATCAAAACAAACCGCTGAGAAGTATTCAAGTTGTTGCCGTTAGGTGGGGCGACGTGTTATTTCAAGTCATAAAGGACCTAAGAAATTATGTTTCAAAGGGTAAGAAAAATCACTCCTTCACTGGCCAAACTCAAGCAGTGAGCACCATTAGTTGTCAATTTATTATTCTTATATTATGTAAAATTCTCGATTTCCTGAACTTGTGACACGCAAACTGCTTCATAGATCTAGCCTCGTATAGTATAGTGTGTGTTTCGGAAAGGTTTTCTGTGTAAGTATTCCCAACAACATATAATCTCCAGAAGTTCAAAAAAAATGTCAATACCTACCTCCTTTCCCTATCCTCCTTAGGAACGCACGATGTTCTTTGAACATTATAGGAATTCCCTTTCGTGCGCTCCAAGCGATAAAAAAAAATCGCGAATAGAAAAATTCGACTTCATCAAGTTCGACAACACAAAAGAACCGACCAATGATATTATTTGAATAGATGACAGATGTCAAATCATTAAGGTTAGAGTAACCGAAGAATGCATGAACATGAAATTCTTAAAAAGGTATCAGATCTACATCAAATTGTCGATAGAATAGAGTTCAGAGTAGTAAGATTACACTTTCAGCAGCAATTTCAAGTCATAAAGGACCTAAGGAATTATGTTTCAAAGGGTAAGAAAAATCACTCCTTCACTGGCCAAACTCAAGCAGTGAGCACCATTAGTTGTCAATTTATTATTCTTATATTATGTAAAATTCTCGATTTCCTGAACTTGTGACACGCAAACTGCTTCATAGATCTAGCCTCGTATAGTATAGTGTGTGTTTCGGAAAGGTTTTCTTTGCGAGTATATACCTAGCCAGGTTGAAAAAAAGAAGTGGAAGAAAGATGAAAGAAATATTCAAGTTGGTGATTTGGTTATCAACGATACTACACTACCAAGAGACAATCGGCCATTAGGAACCATTGTCAAAGTCTACAAGGGCTCTGATGGTATAGTACGAGTTGCCGATGTTAGAGTATTAAATGGAATACTCAAAAGAGCAGTTAGAAGACTTCTTCATCTGTATTTCAACTGTGCTAACAAGGAAGTTAGCACCGAGGGGGAAAATGTTGAGGATATTTTTCGCATTGTGGAACGGTGACAGAATATAATGCAGAAAGGAGTTTTGGTTCATTGTTTGAATTACATTAGGAATTGATTTATGATATATGATTGTTCTGATGAGCCTCATCGAGAAGTATCCCATTTTATATTAGTCAGACAGGTATAAAAAAAATGCCATTAGGTAGAAGTGGAGAAGGGATATGTAAGTCGTATCATATATGGTTTGATGTTATGAAATATCATCGATGTCAATAATAATCTCAAAAATTCCCGATTAGAAAACGGTTTGTGACAGTGAACTAGTTAGGGCGAGTACTTCAAAGTGAATAAAATTGTATAATGAAATAGGTCCATTGTATAGTCTTTACAAGTCACTGAGACAGCTTGATCAAAAGATATTTGCCGCGCCTGCCGGCGATAATTTTTACTGAATTTGTGTCAAGTTATTATTATTATTATTATTAATGCTGTCTATGCATACATGTTTCCGATTATATAGATGTTTTCAAAACTGTCAGTAAATATCCACGTATTCCCATTTTTTCCCCAATTTTTCGAGTAAGATCCTGAGATCTACTGCATAGAAAGCCTTTGGTAAGTCAATAAATACAGCTACATTTTTTTTATCTGGATCAGAGGAGACAATATCAACAAAATCAATGGTACCACTAATTGTACTGGTATTTGTCGTTTCCATGAATTCAATAATTCTTGACTGTATGATAATCTCAGTAATTTTTTATAGGCAAGATATTACAGTTATTAGTCTGAAGTGATCAATTCGATTAGTTGAACTTGTTTTTTGCAAAAACTATATCACCTGTGCCCCTTATTACCTCCAGAATAAGATAATTTACAACTATAACATCCATAATCATAACACAAGAAGTATAACTAATTTTTATATAGCACCAGTAAGCAGGACAAATGCTCAAAATTCAATATTTTTCAAAGGACTACAGCAGTTCAATAAATTACCAGACTTTATACAAATATTCAGATACTTTTGAGTATTTAAATACTTCAGATATATTTAAATACTTTGCAAAACTATATGCCAATACTAAGTTATGAATATATTCCAACAAATATTTGTAAGTATAAATATAATTACCTGAACCAGAAAGTATTTAAATACTGAAGAGTATTTAAATTCTAAAAAATATTTTTAAATACAAATAATGCCCAGCTCTGATCACCCTGTATATATCACAATACCGCACTGACCTTTGGGCGACTTGACGACGCTGCCGACCGCCTTGGCCACCAGCGGCGGTCCCTCCAGCTTGTGCCCGACGCTCTGGCACCACCCGACTGGATACACGTCGGGACTGTCGCAGTCCAGCCACTGGTCGTACTCCTCCTCCCAGCCGTCGAAGTGCACCTTGAGCAGCCGGCCGGCCACCTTGGCCACCGTCGCGATGCACACCAGACGCGGGTCCATCAGGTCGGCCGCCTCGATCTTCATGCCCTGCACGAAGCCGTGCGGGGGCACGTAGGTGTTGAAGAGGGCGGGGTCGGCCGGTCTGGAGGAGATGCGCGATTAGCATATCGATAACAATAGAAAGACACCACGATTCATTCATTGATCATTAAAAAGTATATGCTAACAATCCTAGACACCAAACACGGTTGAATGAATGAAATCACGAATGGTGGGGATAGTAACAGATACTTGTACATCTACGGGACCGTGCTAAGACCGAATAACAATAGATATACACTGCGATACATTCATAAAGCATTAGATAGTTTACGCCGACAACCCTAAACATTTTGTTCTTTATTGATATATATCATATAGCTAGATGAGTTAGACATAAAAGATGCAGTGGGAACCTTTTGTGACCTCGGTAGAGGATTATTTGATTCATGATCACCTGAATTTCGTAAAACAGCCGCAAACTGGTTCAAATCTTACATCAATGATAATGTCAATATGTTCAAATTAAAACTACCAATAAGGACGGAATAGTATTCACTGAACAATAAAACAGCACATAATGACCCCACAGCAGTGTTGTAGCACCTATGCTTTTTCTCCTTTACATTGCTGATCTGATAATCTGCCTCCAACTGTCGAAATGAACAATAATGCAATTCACGGCTTGTGAAAATGGTTTTCGGCAAATCAACTAAACCTCAGTGAACAATTTTTTTTAATATTCCATACAGGCATACAGAACATAGGACAGTTGACCAACTGAGAGTACATTTAAATAACTCTAACCTTAAAACGAAAATATACCATGAAATTTCTACGAATTACACTACATGAATCCTTGAAGTGGCATACACGTTCAAACTGCTTTATTAAAGTGTTGAATTCCAAAAATCTACAACTTCGATGTGGTAAATAACAACAGACAAATACCGCGATTCATTAATAACAACAAGACTAAACGCCAAACACAGATACATGAATGAAATCGCGAATGGTGGGGATAGTAACAGATACTTGTAAATTTACGGGACCGTGCTAAGACCAAATAACAATAGATATACACTGCGATACATTCACAAAGCATTAGATAGTTTACGCCGACAACCCTAAACATGTTGTTCTTTATAGATATATATTATATAGCTAGATGAGTTAGACATAAAAGATGCAGTGGGAAGGGAACCTTTTGTGACCTCAGTAGAGCATTATTTGATTCATGATCACCTGAATTTCGTAAAACAGCCGCAAACTGGTTCAAATCGTACATCAATGATAATGTCGATATGTTCAAATTAAAGCTACCAATAAAGACGGAACAGTATTCACTGAACAATAAAACAGCACATAGTGACCCCAAGGTAGTGTTCTAGCACCTATGCTTTTTTTCCTTCATATTGCTGATTTGATAATTCGCCAATGCAGATGATCACTCTCTATGCAGATGACTCCTCCTTCAACGACTCCAACTGTCGAAATGAACAAGAATGCAATTCACTGCTTGTGAAAATGGTTCTCGGCAAATCAACTCAACCTCAGTAAAACAAAGTTATTGATATTCCATACAGAACATAGGACAGTTGACCAACTGAGAGCACATTTAAATAACTCTAACCTTAAAACGAAAATATACTATGAAATTTCTAGGAATTACACTACATGAATTGTTGAAGTGGCATACACATTCAAACTACTTTATTAAAGTGTTGAACTCCAAAAATCAACAACTTAGATGTGGTAAATAGCAACAGATAGATACCGCGATTCATCAATAACAACAAGCCTAAACGCCAAACACAGATACATGAATGAAATCTCGAATGGTGGGGATAATTCTGCGGCATCATCGCTTGAGAAATAATTTTCTCTATCGATTTATACATAAATGGGGTTACTGGTCGTACTCCTCCTCCCAGCCGTCGAAGTGCACCTTGAGCAGCCGGCCGGCCATCTTGGCCACCGTCGCGATACACACCAGACGCGGGTCCATCAGGTCGGCCGCCTCGATCTTCATGCCCTGCACGAAGCCGTGCGGGGGCACGTAGGTGTTGAAGAGGGCGGGGTCGGCCGGTCTGGAGGGGATTAAATCATTGAAAAGTATGCGCCAACAATCCTAAACGCCAGACACGGATAAATGAATGGAACCGCGAATCGTGGGGATAACTCTGTGGAATTATTGTCAGAGAATTGATATATTTAATATAGCTAGATGAGTTAGGACATAAAAGATGCCCAGAGGGAATCTTTCGTGACCCTCATCAGAGCATTTGATTGCGTCCATCATGATCATCTGCTGAGTAAACTAACGATCTTTGGAATTCGTTATACAGTGCAAACTGGTTCAAACCTTACATCTCTGATAGATGTCAATATGTTTAAAATAAAGCTACCAATAAAGACGGTACAGTTGTCACTAAACAATCAAACTCCACAGAACTCAGGGGGTTCCACGAGGCAGTGTTCTAACACCTAGGTTTTTTCAAACAAAGCCAAGGACAGTTGACCAACTGACAGTACATTCAAACAACTGTAACCTAAAGTGAGTAGATACCATAAATCATGAATCTCGGGTGTTGCATGCAAACTGCTTTATTTAAGTGTTTGATTCCAGAATTAATCAACTCAGATGTAGTGAATAACATTAAATAGATACCGCGATTCAATCATATCTCACTAAAATGTATACGCTTACAATCCTAATCGCCAAACACGGAGAAATGAATGAAATCGCGAATGGTGGGGATAATAACACACACACTTGTAAATTTACGATAGACTCCGCGATTCATTCATAAATCATAAAATAGTATTTGCCAACAATTCTAAACGTCAAACACGGATAAACCAATGGAATCGCGACTGGTGGGAGATAACTCTGCGGTTCGTTCTCACGATGTTTTCTGAACATTACAGGATATCCCTTTTCGTGGGAACAAGAACATAAAAAAAGAGAATTGATATTCTTTATAGATAGATATGTTTTATTCAGGGTTTTTCGAAATTCGACCGACAACGCTTGACAGGTGATAGCCTTCGTGATTTCATAATCACTGAGATAGGGACATACTGTCTTCAAGAGTTCAGTTCTGGAGATACAGTAGTCGCAGAAATACACATTGTAAAGGATAAAAAATATTCGCATCCTTTACTAAGGCGAAAGTTGTAACGACACTTAAGCTTGCAATGATGATTTCAAAATTCGAACGTCAATTTATGACATTTGGATGCCACCTATCAAGAAAAAGATTTGTTTCGAAATTGAGTGCAGTTGGATGTATTATGGTATTTTTCAACTCAAACTTTGACTTCCACTGCTAGAACCATAGGATACGACGGTTAACAGTAACTCAGATATAGGTGAATTCTCTAACTACAAGCTGCAATATGGTGTATTTACTGCTGTGTACTTCGCAAAAATTTCAATTCCAAATGAACTTAGTTGATTTGCCTTTTCAATAAATAGTGTTTCTATTCACACTGATCACCTTAATTTCACTGTATTCAAATCGAAGAGTTCTTTAGCTTCAATGAATTTCATATACCATGGCATAAACATTTCAAAAATCTTTTCAAGATGAGCGTAGCCTCGTGGTAGAAGTGTCAGTTTCTATCCACGTTGGATTACCGGTAGTTGAGTTCGATTCCCACAACGGCCGCAGAAATTTTTCTGATGGCCTAAGAAAGTGTTTGGAATCACATGTTAAAATGTAAGACCCCTGTCATTCTTTGCTCGCACAAGTCTCTTGAAGAATTTTGTGGGTTGCTCGTAAGGGGGCAACCGAATGATGGATAAGAACAATTTTAGAACAATTTTTTTTAGTATCGATTAAGTTTCGTGAGAGTTTTAATGTTCATCAAAATATTTTCATTTTTCATCACCTGTAATGTTATCATGAAAGTTTTGAAATGTGAGCCATTCAGTTCCACATAGAAGTATATGCTATCTTTGAAATGTCTTCACATTTCTTGACATTTCTGGAGTAACTGTATAACACTCATATACAATTCTTCTGTGTAGATCTTCAAGAAAATTGAGGGGCTGCGTAGGGGGTAAGAGTAAACACACCGCTTTGACCGCTATCAAAAAACCCTCTAGGTGGCATAGACTTATTTTCTATTGGGAATGGTCATATAAAAAGAGGGGAGACATAATATTGCATTCATAAAACACTATTTGTTTACAATCATACATACTTCCAAAGTTTCAAGTTAGAAACAGATGACTTCAAAAAATGGCAACGCTGTAAACTATGCGTCAATGTTCACACTTTTCTACACCAGTCGCGTAGGTTAAGCGAGGGGCAAGACAATTTCATTACAATGACAACGCTATTATACCTATTAGAACATGCGTGGATCTAATCTTGTAATTTTAATACCAAATATTCATAGTACCTTATGCACTAACCTAATTTTGATCCATCATTCAGTGGTATTTAAAAAAAAACAATGTTTCTTGCAGTAATTTAGATTAATAACCTGCGATAACTACACAACTGCTCAAGTTAAAAGAAACATATAACCTTGGGATTTGTATGGTGAACTTTTTCACAATCCACGCACTGGCGAACCATAATAGACTTCTAATAATTGTCTGTACATAGTTTCATAACAACAGAACAAGTAGGATTTTGACATACGGGAATGATTTTAAGAAAAATATGCGTAACTCAAAGTAAATGCGGGAACACATAGTTGTCAAACTTATTTCCATAATTCATTTTAATTTTATGTAATGATGAAATTAGGAAAACTAGAATTATTTCAATAGCAGGATTCACATATTTCAATTAAGGAACAAACACATAGAATAAATATACCTAAAAAATGTATATTATATAATCAATGTATGATGAATGCTTCCCTCGTTTTCAATCACAGGCGGTAAAAATTTGTCATCTTAGTTGGCTACTGTAAGCGATGTTGGATCGGGACAAAATGTAAACAATTTCGTCTGCCCTCTTCTTATACAGGGTGAATCAAAAGTAAGCGGCATCCTTCCAGGGACATATCGTCGGCGAACTGACAATACCTGCTAAGTGCAATATAGTGCAGAGCAGGTTTTTTTACAGGAGATGAATAAAACATAATCGAGTAACAGGTCAAGTCGATAGCAGATATTGTTTTCCTTCAATGAAGTAAACAAAGGATTCATCTGGAGGTAGCAGTTCATTTCAGATTGTGCGCAATGAATATTGAAAGCTATAACTGCATGAAGTACCAATATTTGAAAAAAATGTTACTTAGCAGGTATTGTCAGATCGCCGACGATATTCCTTGTATAAAAATAAGGCAAGAACTTCCTATTAATAAGGGCCCGAAAATGATTCCTAAGGGAGCTACGCCCCTTTTAATAGGACACCTCGAAGACGATTTTGTCTCTATAACTTCAAAATCTTTCACAATAAATTTTCGGGAATTGAGGTACGGCATAAACATTTGATGGTGAATAAGACTCTGAATTCTAAATTCCAAAATTATTTTCAGGAGCTTCACAGGCGGGGAAGGGCAAGTGTAAAAACATCCCTTCTTCTTTTGATATTCAAGTTATTGTGATTTACGCAAATCAGAAAGTTTTCAAAGTCGATTTTCTCCTAAATGGTATGGTCTATCGAAATTAACTAAAAGAACCTTTTTTACGTGAAAATCTCTAGAATTTCATAATTTCCGAACGAAATCACAATAACCTGAATATCAAAAGAAGAAGGGATGTTTTTACACCTACCCTCCCCCGCATATGACGCCCCTGAATGAAATTTTGCAATTTTGAATTCAGAGTCTTATTTTCCATCGAAATGTTCATGCCGTACACCAATTTTCCGAAGATCTATTGTGAAGGATTTTGAAGTTACAGGAAAAAAATCGTCTATGAGGTGTCCTATTCAAAGGGGCGTAGCTCCCTTAGGAAGCATTTTCGGACCCTCATCAATAGAAACTTTTTGCCTCCTTTTTATGCAAGGAATACGCCCTTGAAAGGATGCTGCTCACTTATGAATCACCCTGTATGTCTATGGCCCACTGCACACCACCACCCCTTACTTATGGTTGGTCTGTATGAGATAGGCCCGCCAATTGAAGGATTTTGAAGTTACAGGGAAAAATCGTCTATGAGGTGTCCCATCCAAAAGGGCGTAGCTCCCTTAGGAAGCATTTTCGGACCCTCATTAATAGGAACTTTTTGCCTCATTTTTACTCAAGGAATACGCCCTTGAAAGGATACTGCTCACTTATGAATCACCCTGTATGTCTATGGCCTACTGCACACCACCACCCCTTACCTGCTGTTGGTCTGTATGAGATAGGCCCGCCAATTGAAGGATTTTGAAGTTATAGGTGAAAAATCGAGTGAAAAATCGTCTATGAGGTGTCCTATTCAAAAAGGCGTAGCTCCCTTAGGAAGCATTTTCGGACCCTCATCAATAGGAACTTTTTGCCTCATTTTTACGCAAGGAATACGCCCTTGAAAGGATGCTGCTCACTTATGAATCACCCTGTATGTCTATGGCCCACTGCATACCACCACCCCTTACCTGCTGTTGGTCTGTGTGAGATAGGCCCGTCAATTGAAGGATTTTGAAGTTACAGGGAAAAAATCGTCTATGAGGTGTCCTATTCGAAGGGGCGTAGCTCCCTTAGGAAGCATTTTCGGACCCTCATCAATAGGAACTTTTTGCCTCATTTTAACGCAAGGAATACGCCCTTGAAAGGGTGCTGCTCACTTATGAATCATTCAAAAGGGCGTCCCTTAGGAAGCATTTTCGGAACCTCATTAATAGGAACTTTTTGCCTCATTTTTATCCAAGGAATACGCCCTTGGAAGGATGCTGCTCACTTATGAATCACCCTTCATGTCTACTGCCCACTGCACACCACCACCCCTTACCTGTTGTTGGTCTGTATGAAATAGGCCCGCCAATTGAAGGTGGCCGCGTCATAGCCCTTGGGCGGCGTCAGCGGAATGCCGTTCCGCTCGCAGAATCCCACCGGAAAGATGCACGGCGACTTGACGTGGTAGCAGAACCAATCGGCGCCAGTCGCGTCCGAGTCGTACGTGTCGATCCTGATCATGATGTAGCCGTAGTCGAGCACGTCCATCACCTAACCACAGATTCCTTCATTTATATTTGATCAGCAATAAAGGTAGATAAATTGATATTCATCATACAGGACGTGGAAAGAAATTCCGATTAGGTTTTATAATATGATGATAATATATTTATCTGATGGCATGTCATAATGACAACGTTATGTCACTCAATTTTGATGACATAAGGAAGCTCATTATGGGACTAAGTACCATAATGAAATTCTATAAGGAAAACATGTAATGGTTTGATCAAAAAAGTTTATTCAAAATGCATAACTATGTACAAAACTATTTATTATAAATGGTAAAAGAACAATTACTACAATTTGTAATATTAATATAATGGCAAAGCACAGCTCACTCACCTACTAATATTTGAAACTACACAATACTTACTCCTTTAAAAATAGTTGTCATTGTGACATGTCGAAAATGCAGTTTTTAATTTTTCGAAAATGTATTGATATAAATGCCATCAGATAAAATTTTGTATGTAATACGAATCATAAACAATCATTATGGCACACGCCGTGTTAACATTCACGACTTGTACCATAATGATCGTCTTTATGATCCTTATTACATAATAGTATATTATTCAACGAGCGCATAATGATGGCTATTACCATACAATAGTCATTATGCGCAAGTAACATACTATACTTTATCTACAACTATTCAAATATCGAAGCAACTCTGAGAATTCAGAAATATATCTTTGGAAAAAATTGAGGTTATTGCAAAATCACTAAATCTGATTTGAAATACTCATTAAATTCATCGAAATCTTATTGACAAGAATTTCATTCAACGAACAGCTTATAACTTATTTCAATAATTTTAAAAAGTCGTGCAATCACATATCAGTCAACCTTTCTAGGTATTATATGCCATTATTCCACTTTTCAGTTGTAAAATGAATCATACTATTGCAGATTATTCATTAACTTGCTTCCGCTGTAGCGTTCCCCCACCGCGATGAATAATTGTAGTACCCTGTCTCTAGAAGCTAGTTATCAACAATGAAATTCCATGGTTCTGATTGGTCTGTACTAATCTATTCGAATAGCCTGTAGCCATCTTAGTGTTAGTGTGAGCAAATCTGCAAGTGTCAAGTCCTATTTTATGGTTATGGTTACTCATGATGGTAGTCACTGTTGAGGATGGAAAACAGTGAATTCTCATTTTTCCGTGTATTTGTAGAATTAAGGTGATTAAAACTATGAGAACCACGTGAGTCTTTTGAATTTGCGAACTAGTAGAACGAATACCTACCTAGTTGAATTTGACAAGACGATGGGATGTCAGATTATTACGCCACCCTACTGTCATTATTACTCTCATTACTCGATTCATCACAATAATGTCTGTCATTAAATGTCGAAAATCGAGTAAGCAATGTATGAATGACTCCATAGTTGTAGATAAATAACTATTATTGACATTTACAATGTAATAACATGAATAATCAGACAGATTCTATATCTGATGTGAGATTATTCATGCGTTATCAAATCTTCGTTATTGAAATAAACAACAGATTCAAAAATAATAATAATAATAATAAAACAAAAAGCACATGATTAAATAAATTAGTGAATGAGAAATCATTCACTCAGGTTTAATTTTCTCTTTGCAAGAGAATATGTTTCTTGACTTCAATTTTGAATTGGGTGATATTTGTGCAACTTTTGATATCAGGTAATTTATTGAATTTTGAGATAGCTCCGTGAGTGAACTTTTTTAGGCCAAGTGTAGAATTAGCAGCATCAAGATGAAACAAGTCATTGTCTAGTATGATGTTCATGGATTCGAGAATTCCTTTTCAATATGAAGTTAGATTTGAGGTGTTTGTTGATAATATTAAGAGAAATTTCCAAAGAAAATGTATTTGTTTTTTCATAAAGTACTTTTAATGCCTTTTTATATAGTACAGATATTTTATTAAAATTATTCTTGGAACATGACCCCAAGTATTTATGAGATAGTTCATTTTACTAAGGATGTGAGAGTAAAAAACGGTATTTGCTATATTTGGGATAAGTTTTGGCCATCTTCTTAGGTCACCAACTATGGGAGACATTTTTTCTTTGAGCATGCCAATATGCTTGTCTCAATTCAGAATTTCTTTCCACGTCCTGTATAATGAATATCAATTTATCGTTCATCCAAAAACAAATGCCCAGATGACAGGAGTATGTCAACAAATCATAATTCTCAGATGTCAGTTCGTTATAGTTTTAGCTATATTATATGAAGATGAAAATTGTGTACCTATATCATGAAGAATGGCTAAAAGAATAAATGGACTTACTGATGAGGATTTGATATCCGAAATGAGTTTAATTCAAGTGAAGTCATATAACCTGTTTGTGAGAGATTCCCATATCACTGAAACGAATGAGTTTTTTGGAAGCTCATCAAGATCAGAGTTTATACAAGTATACTGCTCATTTACATTTCAATACTGAACATAATGGTGAGTTATATTTGTATATCATAATACATCATATTATTCTATTTGATTTGAGAGATAATTTCAATTCTCAATTTCAGAGGATTTTCATTTTTCATGTTCATGCTCTGTTTTTGGATGTTCAACAGATATAACTCAATGTTTGACGTGGCGAATAGCCAGGAAAGTAGTTGTTTTCTGTTGAATATTCAGCTAAACGCTTTGCCTCGCAAATGCAAAATTCGCGTGTCACTTTTGATCCTAGTGAAACAATCTACTATTATAACTCTTGTTACATAATATACTATCATATATTCATCATGTTTCCTGCTATGAACAAATGTTTCTTGGGAATAATGAAGTTGATTGATTGAGATTATGATCTTTGATTTTCTTTAAGGATGATGGAAGATGATTGAAGAAACTCATTCCATTATAGTGTGGACTGAGCTGATACAGAGATAATGAGTGTTTGGGGACACACAATTTTTCACCATATCTTGTAGAGTAATTATGCAAGTCATGGTTTTTAGAGAATTCCGATTAATTGCTTTTTGCATATAAAATAGATAGATATAATCGACGGCAACATCAAAATTTCATGTTGTTTAAAATGTTCCCTACAGGTTTGCTTGAAATTTAGATTGAAAATCAATCTTGATAATTCTTTTCTGTGCAATAAAATCTCTTTTCACATTTGGTACTTTACCCCACAGAACAATATTATATGATAGATGGGAGTATACAAGTGAATAGTAGACTAGGAGAAGTTGTTTGATATTCAATACAGTCTTGAGTTGTAGTATAGCATAGAATGTACAGTTTATTTTTTTACAAACAAAGTCGATGTTGGAGGCCCAACTTACATTACTGTCAAGCATTACACCTAGAAATTTCTTTACAACGGATGGAGGGATATCCTCTCTTTCGACTTTCACAGTGAAGTTATTTGTTAATTTGTTCCTTGAAGAGAACTTCATGACTACAGTCTTAGTAGCGTTTACTAAGGGACTTTTTTTTTCTGCACCATATAGTGAATTTTCCAGCTAATAGATTGAGCTTATGGACAAGATCGGTGGATGATTTAGCATCTGCTGCCAGGGTGGTGTCATCAGCATACAGAATGGTATAATCAGCGTTAGTATGAAAACGGAGGTCATTTAGATATAGCAGGAATATTAGAGGTCCTAAAATGGACCCTTGAGGAACACCTTGCTCAACATCTTTGAATTCAGACATGCTGTTCTCAATGTTCACATATATTTTGCTCATATTAAGATAGGAGGATAACCAGTTTAAAAAATTTCCCCTAAAACCCTGCAGCCCTACCTTTATGGAAAATAGGTGCATTTGCAAACGGCAGCTCTTCGTCAGTAGGCACTATGGGTGAGTTAAAATAGCAAAAATTCAGTTATCTAGCAATCATAAGGTTAAACAAAAAAGATGGGACGCCACTGCAGCTTTTAATTCAAATGAAATGTTACCTGGAAAGTTGAGCAACCAGATAATGAATATTAGTTGTTCTCCCAGACTAAAAGACCTAAATTTACCTTAGAGATGTTGTGAGTTGGAGTGTCATGTCAATAAACAAATAAAACAGTCATATAAAATACCCAAAACATTTAATTATGATGATAGGACTCATATATCATAGGTATTGACAAATATGCATAAATCAAAAAAATATTAGATACTTATTTCCTGTTAAGAAAACACACTGTTGCCTGCTACTATGTGGATGAAAATATTTATGAATCAACCTTATATTGTACTTGAAAACTCAAGAGCTCCTGTAAGGACTTTTTATAGTCATAGCAGATTTAAAAAATTAAATATGGAAGAATTCTACCAGCTCATAGTATACTATGTGGAGTGGAAGTATGTACCTTTCATGTGTGATTTCATAAATTTATGACCTGGCTATGATTTAAAAATGGTCCATTATACACACACATTGACAGAGTTGTCATATTTCCACCTTGAAAATCCATCAGGAAACAAGTAGGGCACGATATCCAGATTCCAGATTCCAGACTACAATATAGCCACCGAAAGCCTTGTAGAAATAACAGATCCTGGTAGAGCGATGACTCCTGGGAAGAATAGTGCTCCTGGTAGGATAACTCCCGTTGTAGAACTCCCGGTAAAAACTCCCGGTAGAAATATTTCATGACAATGAGGTCCTGAATTTCTGGACTGCAGAGAAAAAACATGGAAATAAAGCGAGACGCACCTGAACCATGAAGATCCTGCCTCTTAAACCAGAACCAGAAAAATCTGTAGAGTCCAGCAGTCCTTATAGATCAGCAACAAATCCAGGATATCCTGATGTGATCCAGAACGCCAGGCGGTACAGGACTTCAGAAGCCGGTTCACACCAAAAAAATGGCACTTCCACCACGAAGAATTTTCTGAAGTGAGCTCTTGTCTCACGACCGGAAGAGAAATCCCTCCTCCAAATTTCCAGAAACTTCGAGAACAAATCAACAGTTTCCGCTTTTCAAATTGGCGGAAAATTTCAATATCCAAAATAAAAGACGTTATCGCTATTCCCTCCAGAGACTTGATTCTTCCCAGATGTCTATCTGAACCAATCAGAATTGATGACTAAAATGACGTCACACCTTTGGTCCGTTTTCTTCACGAATACTCGGCTGAATCAATCCGAATCGGCGTTTGGCGCATGACAAGATTGACACTGTTGACATGGTGTCATGATCGACAGCTAATTGACGTAAAGCGAATTAACTGATCAACAAATTTATCAAATGCATCAATCAAGAAAATAATGCCAAACGAAGTTAATTGATGTGACAATGTTCAATTCCTAGTGCAGCATTCCTGGAAAATCCAATACCTATAGTCCTACTGTGATGAAGTTTCAAGTGGAAATAGCAGTGTGAAAAGTGAGTATGACAATGTCTCTGAAATGGTATTTCATATAACTTTATATTATTTATCTCTTTCAGATAAGTTCCTGTAAAAACCATCCGAATCATCCTTCTACTTGGATCACAACAAAGCAGATATAGCAAGAGATATCAACGTATTTATTGGAATAGTATTTTTATTTTATGTACAGTGTGAAATCTCAGGTGTGTATCCACATATCAGGTTTGAGAATAATTAAATAATATAAAGCAGATTGAGTTCAATTTATGTTATTGAAAAATGTTAACCATGTTATTGTGACAAAATATCCTGTCAGATGTGCTCAGCAGTACAGAATATAGAATCAGACAAAATATACAGTAGTGAAAATTTACATGCTACAACCCAGTGCATAGAGTTTATTTTCTATAATTGATATATCTATGCAATCAGATGCTTTATACAGGTCCAAAAATAGTGCGCCCACATACCGCTTTTTATCAAGTTGTTCATGGACATAATTGAAAAAGCTCCAAGGTACTCACCGTCGCCACGCATATGGAGGACAGGTTCAGCGGATCGATGGCTTCCAGCTTCATGCCGACGCAGAAGCCGGTGCGCGAATGCTCGACGGCGCCGACCTGGAAGGGCGTGAACAACTCCTCGGTGGCATCGTCTTCGTCGAAGATGCCCTGGCTGACGCGCTCCAAGTAGTTGATGGGCGCCACCAGGTGGTGGTTGACCTAAAGAAAGAGATACAACTTTTAGAGGGAACTCAATGAATTATAATAAATAATGATACTTTATTTCCTCTTAAACAAATAACATTGTATGGGAACTGTCACAATAAATCAGTAAGTAGAAGGAAATGAAAAAAGTTACACTCTGATTAGTGTTCCTCAATGTCAAGCTATTAACAGTGAAACTAATATCTTCTATTTTGTTTCGAATATCGTGAATACGAACAATCTCTGTTTTGTCGAAATTGATAAATAAATCGTGGTTGTTGAGGAAACCTGATACATGACTTATATATATATTATGCCGTATAATGATTATCTTTTTCAACACTGTCTATGTTTTGTAACGATATCTTTGTGTGTAATGTTTGATATTATTTCATAATAAAAGTCGATACTTGATAACTTTATTAATAATTGTTCTGGTTATTACAAGCGTGCAGCGTGCTTCCCTTCTCGTGTTGCCGTCGGGGAGTGTCGAGATGGCGGACGGAAGTCATCATTAAAGTAATACCATAACGACAACCGTTAACAATGTCATGTCATTGGTCACTTTTCATGATGGTATGTATACATAGGGATGTAAAATGACGGTCATTTATTTTTTGTGATATGTGACAGTCATTTATATGTCATTTTTGTAATTTATGGTCATTTATGGTCATTTTCATTGCTTTACTTTCAATGTTGATATAAAAGCATCAGACAAGTGATTAAAACATTAGCAAATATTGACATGAACATGAACGTAAATTTATTTATTATTATTATAATACGTTGTCCACACAACAATAAACAGGCACAATACACAATACTAATACTATACAAAACACACTAACGCACCCAAACAACTGACTAGCATAAGAAACCGTCCGCTCAGTCCGCCGTTCAAACGCGAACTGAATTAAGCGTGTTGTAGGCGTTGTAGCTTGTCTAAAAATGAACATCAACAAAAGTCAGCTGATGGTTTTGTGACTGTCATATATTTTAATGACGGTCATTTATTTTTCTGACAGTCAGAAACCTAAATTGACAAAAAATAAATGACAAGGTTGTCATAAACATAAATGACATGACCGTCATTTTGATTCTGACCATGACATGACATAGTCAGAAAAATTTGCTCACAACCCTATGTATACATGACGAAAGCCTAAAGATAAATACACCAATACATAACGTTTGAATGCCTAAAGCCTTAAGGTAGATACACAAATACATAACAGTCTATATTATCAACATATTAAATGAACAGAACGGGACCTAATACAGAGCCCTGTGGTACTCTACACGTTTCATTTTTTTTTTCATTTACTTGTCAGGAAACACATTGTTTTCGATTGTGAAGAAATGACGACAGCCAACTAAGACTTACGCCTCTTATTCCATACTTCTAATTTCGACTTCAGTTTTTGATGGTTGACACAGTCGAAAGTACAATTTTTAAATAATTATTATGATTGGAATCCACGATATTTCATCACATGAAAAACGCAGCAAAGTTGACCTTGATGACATCCACCGTGATCATTCTCTATTTCTGCAGCAATAACAACAATGTTACTGACTGTCATTCACCATTTGAATTTTTCGGCAATGCCATTTTGAAATAATCTATACCTTTGTATCTTTATAACGATCTTTTTGTGTCTTCTGAAGAGAAAAAAATTGAATGTCTTGATAAGTTTTGTCATTCATTCAAGTTGATCATGATTTTTGTTTCACAATAATTATCAGGTATCAACTATATGAATACGAGATTTTATACTGAATACCAATAACACATTTAAATAATCTGGAGTTTATTCTTGAATTTGAATACCTGTAGAACCCGCAAGATTTGGTGAGGTTAGGTCGGTTAGGATCTATGAACCGTTCTACATAATTATTTCATGTATACTGTACTAGATCTCACAAATGTGTTACAATCTACCGCCAGTGAATAAAACAATTATGATTATCCGCATTTTATGCGCGCGAAGTGATCCAAACAGTGCGTGCGACAATCAAGTGTTCTAATAAAACTTTTTTCCATCACTAGCTATAATTATTATGTATACTACATCGCTTACCTTCTTGGCCCAGCCTACTGGATGCAGAAGCGGAGAATCCTCGTGACACCAGAATCCGGCATCATCAGGATGCATATCGTAGTACTTCACGTTCAGTCTCTTCCCTATGATCTTATGGACTATCGCCACCTTCACCTGATAACAAATAGAGTTTTAAAAATATCGTTAGTCATAATTCGTATATTTTTCAAGTGTATTTAACCAAAATAAAGCTATTTGAGTAATCAAACTTCCGTAATATTGCTTCTACAGCGGTAGAGGTTTTTAGGTTGGCAACTTGGAGTGAAGTCCCCTATTATAATTCTTGACATTTATGTCATCCGCTGTTGACGGCGATTAGGCGATCATGCCATACCTATACTGGCGGAATAAACAGAAACTGTGCGATGTGCTTACTGTGTGAGGATTATTTGAAAATCCGAATATTCGTTTTATTTCATGTACCAAAAGTGAGTAAATAAACCCTCATCTCACAGGATTTTCTTGAGTCAGGACTTCGTGTCGTTCATGAATTCACCATCGAAAGTCGAAAATATAACGCACCGTTTCCAATTTAACAAAAAATTGTGAAAATGAACTTGTGAAGTCAAATGAATGTGTCATGATGACTGTAAATTTGGGTTGAAACTTTGAAAATTTAGCAAGATTCTCCCACGGAAGTGATAACACCATTTGACTTTGTCTATTTGTAATTTCCTAATCTTTACAGATATTTTATATGTATGAAGATGGCCGTTGAGCCGAAACTAGTCTCAAACTTGATTTGTTAATATAGTTTTTGTGGCCGACCGACTTTGTGTTACACTGTTTTTTCTTTGAAACAATTTTGGACTACTTTGAGAAGGATGGATGGTTTCCATTAGAGATCCTAAATGTACTTGACACTGCTGTTTTGACATTTTTTGTATATTAGAGATAACCCCAAATGAATTGATAGAAAAAGCGGGAACTGGCAGTACACGGACGTACATGACATGAATTTCAAAGGTTTAACAAATTGAGAGAATTAGGAGAAAGATGCAAGTTTGTGCAGTATTCAACTGTGAGAACACGGGAAATCAATTCACTCAATTCGAATTTCCATCGGATAACGTAATTCTACAAAAATGGGAACAGAATATGATGCGGTCGGCATGGAATATAGTTCAGGCCACAAAATTTGCGAGGTATTCAAATTTCTTGGTAGGATATAAAACATTTTTCAACGCAATTTTTATCAAGTGCATTTCAGAACGGAAGATTTGATGTTGAAGAATAGGATCGTATTGAGAGAACCAAGAAGAAACGAAAAACTTGCAGATTATGAAATTCATTTGGAACATATTTTGAAAGATAAAGACTTGAGCATCGAATTTTCAGAGCAGGAAAATTCAAAAATTCAAGGTTTACGAGTGGAAGAGAGTGAGGAATTCAGGAAACAAATAGAAGAAAAAAATAGAGAGTTGGAAAATAAGTTAAAGCAAAAAGATTCAGATACAAAAGTTAGAGTTAGCAAAATTCAGAACTATTACCTAAAAATTATTTCAGATTTGAATCAAAATCAGCAAATATCTTAGTATGGAAGATTTGAATAACAAAATGTAATAGTAAAAGATGGGAGGCAAAAAGTTTGGAAAAAGCGTTGGTGATCAAATTCACGTGTGGTTCATCTGGTTACAATAATTTATTGAAAGTTTAATAGGAATTACCAACGCTGCATATGTATTTCGTTGGTAAATATGTACATACAAACTTGATATCTATTGAGGTCCTCCAGCCTTATCATTCAATATTTCGAGAAGACATAATTTTCTAATCAATTTATCGTACCCTTTTACCCACTCGAGGAGACGAACTCTCATACAAAATCAAAGACAGAGAAAGATATATGGATGTACTCTTCCCAGGACTTGTGGAGGAAGGAAGATGCAAGGATCCTTTATCTAAGCAAAAAAAATGTTCTTGTCCTTGTCTGGCAAAACATATGATTTGCTTCAAAATCTTTTGTGGTTATGTTTGATTGTCACTGCTTGTCTAGTGTCCGTACTCTAATAGGTCGCGTGCACGGTGACCGACACTGGAGGTAAAATATTGAAACACAACCTCACTCTTCTGTGACACATTGAAACACAACCTCACTTTTTTTATTTGTATACAGAGGAGAAATCAAAGGATTGAAATATTTTGTCACAATATTTTGGCAAACGAATCGTGTTTTTTTGGGCTATTCATCAATTCAAGCATGCCTTCTCATTGTGCTGTTGTACAATGCACAAAAAATGCAGCTAGAGATGATGGAATATGATTTTTCATGTAAATAGTAATCTCAAATAGTTTTTCATTATGGCATTTTGTCATTTCTCATTGAAATTCCTTCTGCCACTTCTGCAATAGAAGCTTATACTGCTAAAAGATTGAAAATGTCTACAACACACACGTCAGTATGTCAGACCAGTCCTCCCGTTTGATTGCATGAATCCAATCTTCTTGCATTATTTTAAATTCACGAGTATTTCTATAAGTTCCTATTGCAGAAGGAATTCTGATGAGAAATCAGAGAAATTACCAAATTTCAAAATGAAAACTATAATTTATGTGAGTGACTATACTAGGTACTTACTGATAAATCATAATGTACCAACCGGATTCCTTCGTCTCGCTGCATTTTTTGTGCATTGTACAACAGCACAATGTGATGGCATGCGCGAATTAATGAATAGCCGAAAAACATGATTCGTATTCCAAAATAATTGTGAAAAACTATTTCAATCACTAGTAAACAAATGAGAAAAGTGAGGTTGTGTTCCAATGTTTCACCTCCAGTGTCGGTCATCTGACAGTTCTTGCACGCAACCCATATACAAAAAACGTCAAAACAGCAGTGTCAAGAACATTTAGGAATTCTAGTTTCCATGACTCCTGGAAATCTGATTGCGTTCAAAATTAGTTAGATCATCAAGACATGAAACATTCTCATCATTATATTCAGCGAAACCTCACCTGTGATATCCGATTCTTGTCGACCACCTCCAAGTTGAGGCCGCACTCGAACCGCGACTTTAGGCTGTCGCCCGCCTTGGTGCTGAAGTTGGAGGGCAGCGTTCGCGCCCCCGTCAGGCGCTTGCGCAGGAAGTCCTTCCAGTCGAGGTACTTGTCCTCGACCGTCTTGGGCGGGATGAGAGGTTTGCCGCGCGTCGCGCACCACCCCACCGGGTGCACCTGGTTCGAGCACAGACTCACCCAAAAGTCCTTGGAGTCGTTCGAGCCGAAGCCTGGAGAATAGATGATCGTCGTCGTCATCAAATTCCCGAGAACCGATTCATGTTTCACCCTCGTTTAGTTATTTTTGTAATTTATGTTTACCGCGTGAAAACATGTACAGGCTGATGTATATCTGAAAAACTGATGCTCTGCGCTTCCTAAAAATATATACCACTTATGAGGAATTTCAAGATTCAGCCACGGTTTTTTTTTTTTTTTTTTTTTTTTTTTTTTTTTTATCGCTTGGAGCGCACGAAAGGGAATCCCTATAATGTTCAAAGAACATCGTGCGTTCCTTGGGAGGATAGGGACAGGAGGTAGGTATTGGAATTTTTTTTGAACTTTTGGAGATTATATGTTGTTGGGAATACTTCCACAGGCAATGAATTCCAGAGCCTAGCCGTTCTATGGATGAAGGAGTCTTGATAAAGTGCTGTTCGACATCTTTCGAGGTTGACAACGAAAGGATGTGCTGACTGGGCTTGTCTAGTTCGTCTGATTGGTATTGCTAGTGAAGGGATGATAGCAGAGATTTCCGAAGAACATTTCCCGTGGAAGTATCGATAGAAAAGTGAAAGGTCGCCGACCTTTCTACGGTGTTCCAATGATGTCAAAGAGTGAGTGAGTGTGGCGTCACCCACCAGGCGAATGGCTCTTCTCTGGATGGAATCTAAGAGTATCACCGTATGTTTGGGTGCTGAACCCCATATGTGGGAACAATATTCTAGAACAGACCGTATCTGCGCTTTGTAGATCATGAGAAGCTGTTGAGGTGTAAAGTAGCTTTTCGCACGGAACAAGAATCCGAGTTTTGGTGAAGCAGCTTTTGCGATGGATCTGACATGATTATCCCATGAAAGAGTGTTGCTGATGGAAATACCGAGCATAGATATGGTTGGCTTGGTGGGGATGGTGGAGCCAGACATTACAATATCGGGCATACTGAGTTCCGCCTTTCTAGAGAAAATGCAGGCTTGAGTTTTGGTGGCGTTGAATTCAACTAGGTTGTTTGTTCCCCAGGCTGTGATTTCTGCAAGATCTTCATTGACAGCATTGGCCTGCCTGCGCCGTGAGTTCTTAGTTTCCTGGGAAGAAATGGGAATTCTGGAAGAGAACGCAGTATGGAGGGTACTATCATCTGCAAAGCTATGGATGGGGCAAGTTGTTACTCCCAACAGATCATTGATATGAAACAGGAATAATGTTGGTGCCAAAATTGATCCTTGTGGAACGCCGGAATTGATGCCAATGGTATCAGACGATACACCGTCCACCACCACGTGAAGCGATCTGCCTGAAAGAAAACTCGATAAGAGATGGCATAGCTGAGGTGGTAAGCCGTATGATGGTAGTTTGTGGAGGAGTCCTTCGTGCCAAACACGGTCGAATGCTTTCGATATGTCTAACGCGACAGCTAGAGATTCCCCGTGTTTTTCCATTGAAGATTGCCATAAATAGGTGACGTAGGCAAGTAGATCTCCAGTAGATCTTCGGTGGCGAAAGCCGTATTGTCTATCATTGATGATTCCTGAGCTCTCCAGATATTTGATAAGCTCAATATTGATGGCTTTCTCCATCACTTTGGAGATTACTGATAACAGGGCAATGGGCCTGTAGTTGTTGGGCAGGTTCTTGTTCCCTCTTTTGGGGATTGGTTGGACTCTAGCTGTCTTCCAGCATGATGGAAAAATACCCGACCTGTACGAGATGGTAAACAACTTGCAGAGAATCGGTGTTAATTCTGGTGCACATTTTTTGAGGATAATGGGTGGAATTCCATCAGGACCGTTAGCCTTATTTGTTTTGAGACCAAGCAAAATTCGTCTGATAGTGCGTTGACGGAAGACGATTTCGGGCATTCGACTCTCAACGGGTGGAATGTCTGGCGGCAGTTTTCCTTGGGAATCTAAAGTAGAGTTTGCTGCGAACATCTCTGCAAAAATATTTGCTTTCTCCTGCGATGTTGTTGCTAATGTGCCGTCGGATTTGGACAGTGGTGGAAATGAACTATTAGTGAAATTTCTTCCGACCGCTTTAGCAAGGGACCAAAACGAACGGGAGCCATTGGGGCAATCTATGAGTTTCGATCTTATCTTGGCATTGTATGTTTCTTTCGAAGCATCTATTGTTTGGCTGCAGTTATTCCTGGCATCAACGTATTCTGCTCTAGTCGCGAGGTTAGGGTTTTTGCGCCAGCGATGGTAGGCTGTTTGTTTCAAGGCAACAGTTCTAGAACAGTTTTTGTTGAACCAGGGTTTCGGAGGTGATGATCTTTTCGAAAAATGAGGTATGTATGTGTCCATTCCGAGCATGATGATCTCGGATATTTCCGCAGCACACTGTGAAGGGTCCTCAGAGTCAAAGCATACTCTATGCCAAGGAAACTCGGAGAAAAACATGCGGAGACCGTCCCAATCTCCTGAATTGTAATGCCATATAAGACGTGGGGGTGCCGGAGCAGTTGATGGAATGAAAAATGGGCAGGTTGTGGAGATGAGTGTGTGGTCAGAATTGCCAAGTGGAGCTCGTACATCTATGGTGTAGGGTGCTGAATTATTAGTAAGGAATAAGTCAAGTATGTTAGCTGAATGGTTATTGACATCGGGAATGCGTGTGGGTTCTTTGATAAGCTGCTCTAAGCCGTGAGTGATGGCGGAAGCTTCGGCTTGTCGCCCAGCTTCATCCGTTCTGTTAGAGTGTACGAGCCAAGCAGTGTTGTGTACATTGAAATCGCCCATGATGATGATTTCTGCTGCTGGATGGTTCTGTTGGATTTGGTCAAGCTTCAGAGACAAGAATTCGAAGAGCTCTTCATAGGATGGATCATTTGGTGATAAGTAGAGACAACAAAGGAATTTGGTCTGTTTCTGGCTATCGAGTTTGAACCACATGACATCAAACTTGTTTGGTTCCAAAGTTCTTTCTCGTTGACATGAGAGATTCGTTTTAGAGTAGAGGCAGAGACCTCCCTTGAATCTAAAACGTGTGTGGAGTTCGTACCCAGGACAGAGCAGATAGGTCGTATTGGTGGATGAGTTGACCTGTGTTTCAGTAAGAGCCAATATGTCTGGCTTTTCAATTTGAAGGTGTCGATGGACATCGTTGATGTTCTTACTCAGACCTCGGATGTTACATCTTGAGGACTTTTTGAGCCGATGGTGAACCCCCTCTAGCACCTCTCGCCCGGAAATCCGAATGGAGAGGTATTTTACTTCCGGATAATTTTACTTGAGGAGAACTCATCATCGCGTATTCTGTATAAAGAAGGGAGGTTGGCGTGGAAGGAAAAGGAAATTGGGTTAGGTTGGGTTGGCCGGAACATCAACCAGCTACTGAAACACGGGTAAGTATACCCATTTCACAGTGCCTATTGAGATAATTTCTAGTTTTTTAGTAAATATTTCATCGATGGGCCTTGAAAATATGTCCATATCTCGAATTTTCATATTTACCTTGTTGCTGATTCACACGCTAGTTTTAATTTTACCAACATTCACCAATTTCTGCACGGTTTATTGACTATGAAATCAGTGTACCTAATTAGAAGGTGGCTATAAAAAAAATCGAGTGCAGAATGTTTCATAATATTTGTCACCTACCTATCGAATTTCCAAAATTTTCACACAACGGCAGATGATAATCCAGGATATCAAAACTACGAAATTTTAGAAACCAACTTATATCCCAACTATATCTACTTTTTAGTAGTTTTCATATCCGGAATTAATATTCACCACCGTATGAAAAATTTCGACAGGTAGGTGACAAGGATTAAAAAACATTCTATACACTCGTTGAATATTTATAAATGTTGCATGTTAAAATTGAAACTATGTAGTGTGTGACAAAAATTGTGTCAGCAATAATTAATATAAAAATTTGTGATATGGACAATGTTGCCACATATTTACAAAGCCCATCGATGAAAGGTCCACTGGAAAACTAGAAACTATCTAATTTCATGGGTAATACTCAAAATATCATATGAGTGTTCTATATTTTTGGAAAGCGCAAAGCATCATTGCTTCAAATATGAAAAAATATATAGGGTGTTCCATTTGAAAAAACATAACTTTGGATTATATCTGCATAATTATAGATTATTTCGAAAATTTGATTACGCCAATGAATTCTACTTGAAAAAAATGTAGAAGGCAGTTTTCTTTTTCGATAAGTTGAAAGATAACTGAGATACAGGGGGGATCCCAAAATGCAACATTTTTAATTTGGCCCTGTATATCAAAAACGAAGTGTTATGAAATTTTTTTTTGCAGTATCGTTTCACAAAAAAGTAGCTAACGTTCGCGAACACCGCAAATCTCTATCTTTGAAAATAAATGAGATATCCCATATGGACATCGAAAATGGGACAGCCTATACTGATGTTTATTTTTCCCTTGTCCGTTACTGCTTTATATTACCTTGGCAACGGTTGCTATTAACAGACTCATAACACCCGGGGCGTAATGGACGCCCTCCATGGAGGGCATAATGAATCATAACGCCCGCTAATCGTTTTTTTCTCTACTTCATAAAATTACACACCATTTCTTGAAAGTACGCCAATAACATGGCAATAATTTCATTTTTCAACTTCCATTGATTAAATAGGTACTTCATAATCCTTAATACACGAGTATGGATTTCTCCGGCAATAAATTAATGGAAGCCTTGTCTGCATTTTTTATGATACTCTTGGGTAAATTCGTATTCATTTCCATCATTTCTATAAGACTTGTCAAAGAAAGCAGCAATGACATTCACTTAATTAAATTCGCGATAGAAAATAGGCGTACGCCACCTATCGAATATATTTGAAAGCTGTCAACGCGGTCTGTTTACTTTGTTTTCATTGGTTCACATTTGTTTTTTGTTTGTGCTTATTGGTCAACCATCAAAACAAACCGCTCAAGTGTTCAAGTTATCGCCGTCAGATGGAGCGACGTATTATTTTCCAACGCGAATCAACAAATGCCATGCCTACCATGAGAAGAAAATTCTAGGAGCAATGACCCGTTTTTTGAAATCGATTTTTCATTATAAGATAATTTTTTCGTGAAAAATTAAATTTTGTATGCACCACGAGCGTTACTGGATCCTAAGATCGGGCAGCATTCATCCCTTGGGTACATAAATAACTATTATAAGGCCATATGCCTTCCTAGTGAGATGTGCGAGTTATGGACCATCAACACCCGCTGAAAAGACAGAGTTCAACCATCGCTTGAACGGGTAACATCTCGGGGTTGTTAATAGAGAGAGATAGTGACACTTAGCCCTTGTTTATTGGCTCTCAATAGTTGGTTTAACGTAATTTAACATTATAACGATAATCGACGAATTCTATCGGTAAATCTGGCTTGCACTGAGTGCATATTTTGTATTCCGTTGGTGAAACTGGTGTCGGATTTTGAATTACATTGGAAAACTGGTTCACATCGACTTTCTTACCAGATTTATGAATTGGCAATACCAATTTTCATTTTGTCAGGAATGATACCAGTTTCAAAAGATTTAGAAATGATTTTCAACAAGATAGGTACTAATTCAGATTTGATTACTTCATCAATTTTGACACTAATATAATCAAATAAGAACCATCTATAGTTTCTCGAAAGTAGACTCGGTCAAGTCTTCCTAACTACTAGCGTAAAGTTAGACATGTTTTCCTGTAGTTATTCATGTCAAAACTACGTTCATCTGTTATTTGATGAAAATGATATAATATACTCATGACTAGGAAATAGTATATTGTTTAATGAGCACGGAATGATAGTGATTTCCTACGAGAATGAAGTTTCGCCTACGGCTTATTCTGCAATCACACGAATGGGAAATTAGCATTCCGTGCGAGAGTACACTATAATTTTTCTACGGCATTTTTGATTTCTTCTTTTTGTAGGAATCTGATTTTCTCTCAAGTAATGCTCATCTTTTAGACAGAGCTGTCATTACTTGAAATTTGACATCCCATGAGATGAGATTTTTTTGAAATAATAACACAATGGAGTCATTGTGATCAGATATAAAAAAACAAATTGATTACATACAAAGTACTTACCTCATTGATGTATCGAACACAGTAAAACAAGAGCAATTTTGTGTTATATTCATAGAATTTTTATATACATATCTTTATTTATTCCCGCCCTCACTTGTGTAATATTTTATGTATGTTCAAAATATGATGGTTGTAAATAAAATAGTATACAAACCTCGGTAGCAAGTTTCATTCCAGTCTCGAGATCGTAGCTAACCTCGACGCTTTACGTCTCGCTTAAATAACCAATCTCACGACAGGAATGAATCTTTTTCCACCTCGGTGTGTATTATACTATTACCGGGTTGCCTATCGAAAAGTGGCCGCAAGTATTTTTAATACAAATGGTTGGTTTCGACTTCTAGTTTCATATGCATGTATCTCATTAACTATGTTCATGTTCATTTTGCCTTGCATATTTGTAATTTTTTTGATATTTTATATACAGGATGTTCCGAAACTATTGTCCCAAAATGTAAGGGTGGGTAGATCTCGCCAAAACAAACGTTTTTTTATTATCAACCCATAGGCGCATGCGCCTTATTTCGGTACTAATAGGTATCTCAAATAATATCGATATTGAGTGCCCAGCTCTACCAATTTCGATGTTCGAAACCAATCGCCGCAGTTTAACATATGAACATACACAAATACTATCGATATTGAGTGCTCAGCTCTACCGATTTTGACGTTCGAGACCAATCGCCGCGCTCCGGACACTCGCCTTGCGTAGGCTACTCATTTATTATTGCGTCGTGGCAACGTCTAAAACCTAACTCAATCTATATTGTAGTGTTTTTTTTTAATAAACTCTCCCAAATATTGCTTGTGATTTTATGTCATTTACTAACACGGTTTTCGGTACAAACACGTTTCCCCGTGTCCGAGGTTGGATACCACTGCGCGGACCTTAATGCGTTATTATCACTGAACGCATGTGCCTATGCGTTGATAAGTGAAAAACGTTTGTTCTAGCGAGATCTACCAACCCTTAGATTTTGGCACAATAGTTTCGGAACACCCTGTATCTAAATTGTGCTATTCCTAGAATTTTTTCTTGTATATATCATGGGAGCAAGGTTCATTTCCTCTCATGTGTGTTTGATTCCTTCGCTACAGGGGAGGAAATGGATACCTTTCCTCCCTTGATTAATAATTAGCTATTATCAAGAATATTGTGAACTACAGTTACAGAAGCTTGAGTTTTGTGCTTAGAAATTCATATCAGTTCAACTGGAAAACCGGAATACTTCTATACAATGCTTTTGTACGACCTAAACAAGAATATGCCTCAGTTATATGGAATCCCAACACCAGTGTATACTCTGAAATGATAGAAAAAGTACGAAGGAAATTTCTGAGAAACCTTTACTACAGGAAACATGAAGAATCTGCTTTTATGATCACATACAGAACTCAACTCATGGAATTTGAGCAAAGAACACTAGAGTCCCGAAGAGATATCAATGATGTGCTGTTTGTTTCAGACATATTCAGTAATAATCTGAATGTACCTGATCTACTTAGTCAAATAAACATTCATGTACCTGAAGTAAAACTACGGAGAAGAAAAAATATTATTTTCTACATTGATGTTAAATCTTGCTCACCTTTTGGAAAATGTCAAAGAGCTGTAAATGAATATAACTGTGATATAGATATTTTTACATTCAGTAGTAGCGAAATAAAAGGCTGTTCTCTACCTCTTTAATATCCACAAAATTCTTAGTTATAGGCTATATATGTTCAATATTTTTGAAAAAGTTTGTCATGAACGTCTTGATTTTATATCTTAACTTAACTGTTTTTCCCAAAACTTGAGTGTATTCATAGTGGAAGGAGAAGATGGTGTGCCTACGCGCATATTATGTGACGTCATCTGGGATACCAATATCAGCTGCTAGTCATAGACAGATACCGTTGCCATGGGCGTGCGCAATGAATTCAATCATGTTTATTGAAATTTCTATAAGTTTCTCAATCTGTTAAGAAATAATTCAATTTATATAAACACGTTTCCTATTCCTTCGATTTTACTACTCCATTTATTCTGGAAATTGTGATCTTGAGGTAATTCGCAATTGCAAATAGCAAATACATACGAATTATCATGCATTGCGAATCCCATCTGAATGATCCACTACTGTGTCGATTCTGACAGATTGACGTTGCTTCTGCTCTGACATCGACAACAGGAGTATCAATTTTTGCCGTTTTGTTATTCAAATCTTTGCTGCAATTTATATTTTGTGAGAAATTAAGAGTTTTGAATTCATTTTCAATTATTTCTGACTTGATATTCGGAAGATATTCTATAGGAATGGTATCTTGTTTCAAATATTTGTGATTTTTTGGAGGTGTGTAATTCAAGAACCGTACTTTCGCACTTGTTTGGGAACATTTTGCATGGAAATGTTTTGAAGAAATACGCGTTGTTATCTGAATGTGATGATAATATGATTGGTGAATACTCTGGAATGAGAATATAAGGAATAGAAGGTAGGTACCATTATTTGAGTTTATATTCTGTCGGCAGCAAACGCCCATCGTTTCATTAGGTCTCCATTGTTGGAAAAGCAGAAAAATGCAATATCTGTGTCTTTTGTATGTTAGTTAGAATTTCCATGACCAGAAACGAAACAAGTAGGCATTTCGAAATTATTTCATTCAATTTTAGTACTTATATAATATCTGAAGTTCCAGACATCAATCACGAAAACAAATAATATCAATGACAGTTATATCCCAGCTGACGTCATGCGCAGAACCAGACAAGTTTGAGCTTTCTGTTGAGCACACCATCTTCTCCTTCCACTATGAGTGTATTGTAATCTTTCTGTGTAGTGTATTTCTCTTTTTTTTGTGAGTAGTGTATTTTACTGTAGGATAGGAACCGAGATAGGAACTGTCTGTCTGTAATTGGGCCATGGCCTGTTGATTTGGCAGTATAAATAAAGTGATATATTATTGTTCTGAGTCTAAGACAGTATCAATAATTCTCTCTCTCTCACACACTCACACATCCCCTTTAACTCACCTTCGTAACGCAACTGAGCCTTATACCCCACCAGCCGCATCACCGTCGCCACCCAGAACGAGTCGGCGAACGCCTCCGACACGTTGTCGCAGTCCGTGTTCTCCACCTCCACCTTCATGCCCACCATCACGTCGTCCCATATGTCGGCCATGGGGGCGTGCCGGAAGCACGTGACGGGGGCGGCGACGAAACGCGGATCGCTCAATTGGGCGTCCCACTCGAACGAGTTGGCCAGCTCGGCGGGTTTCCTTCGGATTAAAGGGAGAGTTTCGTCTACGGGGGGCAGGTCGGGCAGCGGCGACAGCTGCAACATTTAGACATAAAAATAATTTTCTTTTTATGTTCTGGTTCCCATGAAAAGGGATATCCTGTAATGTTCAGAGAACATCGTGAGAACCAAGGGGAATAAGGTAGGAATTGGTGTTCTTCTTGAATTTCTGGAGTTTGTATGGAGATGTTCTGCAGGTCTACAAAGTGACCACGAAGGGGTAGGAAGCCTAGAATCGACGGTTTTATCTCGCGGGGACTGCCAAGGGAGGAACAATAATTGTTGATATTTCAGAAGAGCATCGTCCATGAAAATATCTATAAAATAGAGCCAAATCGACAACTTTTCTACGGTGTTCCAGAAAAGTGAGCGAGTTTGTGAGCGAGGCATCACCCATGAGACGAATTGCCCTTTTTAGGACAGAATCCAACAGTTTCAGGGTATGTTGCTGCACTCCATATGGGAACAGTATCACAGGACAGATCGGATCTGTGCCTAATAGATCATAAGCAGCTGACTGGAAGAGTGAAATAGCTCCTGGCCCGAAACAGAAAACCAAGTTTTTGGGATGCACTTTTAGCAATTGATCTCACGTGATTCTCCCAAGAAAGGTTATTATGATAATAATACCAAGCATCGAAATGGATGTCTTCAGAGGTATGGTTACTCCTGACAAGCTTATGTTGGGCACAGTGAAATCGGCTTTTCTAGAGAAAAAGCATGCTTGTTTTGTTTGCATTTTTAAATCGACTAAGTTATTGGATCCCCATTCGAGAATTGTTGCCAAGTCCATATTCATGTTGTCAACATTTCTCCCTCGTTCGTTTCTGATTTGCCTGGCTAGTATTGGAGCCTTAGAAGAGAAATCGGTATGGAGGGTACTATCAACCGCGAAGCTGTGTACTGGACATGAAGTTGCTTACAACAAATCGTCGATATGGAGTAGACTCCGTCGACCACTACATGGAGAGACCTGTTTGAGAGAATACTGGCTAGCAGAGAACATAGCTGGGGAGGCAAGCCATAAGATGGAAGCTTGGCGAGGAGTCCGTGGTGCCAGACTCGATCGAATGCCTTGGAGATATCAAGCGCCACGGCTAAGGTTCCACCATATTTCTCAATAGATTGCTGCCATATTTGTGAGACGTAAGCGAGCAGGTCACCAGTTGATCTCTGGTGACGGAAGCCATATTGCCTATCGTTGATAATACCTGAATGTTCCAGGTATTTCATGAGCTCGATGTTGAAAGCTTTCTCCATGATCTTTGAAATAATAGATAGCAGTGCGATCGGTCTGTAGTTGCTAGATAGGGTCTTTTTGCCTTTTTTAGGAACTGGTTGTACTCTTGCGCAATTTTGCAGTTGGACGGGAATATCCCCAATTCGTAAGAGTGGTTGAACAACTTGCAGAGAACAGGTGTTAATTCGGGAGCACATTTCTTGAGAACAATCGGTGGGATTCTGTCGGAGCCACAAGCTTTGTTGGTGTTGAGACCCGATAAAATCTTTCTATAGTATTCTATAGAGTTATTGGTCTATTGGATGGGGTGGTATGTATGAAACTCATCTAAAACCTTTATTTTATGTATTTAAGAATATGTTTTGAAGATAATATTGCGTAAATCATTTGATTATCCATCAGCATCATTATTCTCAGAAAATAGTTAATTAATTGTTAGGCAGTTATTCTACAAGGCGTCAGTAATCTTTATTAAAAAGAATCCGGTAATAACGAATAAAATAAATGTTACAAGAAACAAAATCAACAATGTACGACTTGAAAAACATGAGCTTAGAATTTCAGAAAAACATTCTAGTTTTATTGGATCTAAAATTTATGATAAAATATTATCAAAATTAAAACGTCCAAATATCATGACTTTCAAAAAATAAGTTAAAAGTTGGCTTAGAGAAAAAATATGCTGTACGTGGAAAAATAATTTTGTACGTGAAATAATCCATCTCTTTCATACACAGGTCACTATTCTATAAGAAGGAGATACAGTATGAAATATATATTCATGTAATTGATATTCAATGACAAAATGTAGATTTTACTTGATTCAATTAATAAATGAATAGATAAATAAAATGTACTATGAAACAACTCCGAGGTTACAAATTCATTTTTAGTAGAGGCATGATAAGTTCACATTTTGCACCTGAAAATATAACTCTCTATACTGTATAAATATTCACATAAAATACACAATATATGTATAAAAAAAGTCTAAAATACCAAGAACTAGTGCCTAAAGCAAAACTCAAGTGAAGAATGCATATAATCCTCAACAGTATTGGGTTCTAATTCTGTTAGATATGCCTTCAATGATCACACAAAACCGCCGATCTGTTGGCAGACAGTTGAAAAGTTTCATAGCGCTGTATATTGTACTTCATTCTGGTGGAGCTTCTGGTGTGCCTGGGAACGCATAATCACCCTTGTGCCTAGTGTTGTAAGTATGGGTGTTCTTATAACAGTTGAACTGAGATGACTGTTTCACAAGACATGAGGACCAGTGGGCATATTATTTCTCTTGAAGATTCCTCGGCATGATTCCTTACCCCAATAAACTTAGCAGAACCACTTCAATATTTGAGATTTGCAATAGTACTATAATTTGTTATTAATTTAGTACTAATTTATTACCATATTTACGAATTTACTTCCCTTCATTAAACAGAAAAAACCAACGGCTCTGCTAGCTTTATGTCAACCTAGCAACCTGCTAGGTTTATTGGGGTTGATTACCTAGCATTCATATTAAACATCAAGTGAATTTCCTTTTTTTGGCTCAAAAAGATTTAATGTAACTCCCGACTATCTTCTTATAAATCAATTCCAAACTTAAAAGATGAGTTGAAATTGGCATTGCACATAGTAAATAGTAATCGATACATTCTTGTCTGAATCATGTTTCATGTTGAATAGCCAAGATTGTGGAAGCTAATTGCTTACAAACATTCGAAACCGCTCAACAAAGTAGCAATTATTGGGTTCGATGTATGTAACCATGTGACCAATAAGCATAACCGAAAAACAAGATGTAAACAGAGTAAACAGACCCCCATTAGGTAGCGTTCGCTGATTTTCAATCGCGAATACACAGTCAGGTTGTTTGAACCAGTACTATATTTGAAAAAAAAGTAGTTTTAATTACTTTTCATTAACAAAATTTCATTAGGATAAACTAGTTTCTTGGGATCAATGAAGGATTGGGAAAGTTAGAGGGAACTAGACCATACCTGAGGTAGTGGCTGGTCGATGTAGGAGTCGGTAAAGTCGTCTTCCATCTTCATCGCGAAGCGGTACTTGGCGTAATGCTGCTTGTTGTCGGGCGTGTTCTGATTGGCTTGCGGCAGCGGCTCGGGAATGAGACCGCTGTAGCCTCTGGCGCAGGCCATGCTGCAGAACCGGCGCTCTCTGGTGTAGAAGGCGTGCTTCACCCCGATGGCGCCGCATTTCTCGCAAACGGCTTTTCAAAAAATACGGAGTAATCAAAGTATAATGTATAATATCGCATGAATCAAGTGAACTTGACGAAATACAATTAAACAATTAGATGTCTACAACATTCCTGAAGAACACTGACATAAGGCCTTTTCGGAATCCTACTCGGGTTGACTCGATTTCATCTCGATCCTAAACCTGCACGTTCGTTTACCTAGCCCGAGTTGCATACCCGTGTTCGTAAACTTCGGCTGGCAGTTTTATTTGAGAGTGATTTCTTGTATTTGATAATTATATTTGAGTGTCTAGATTCATTTAGTAATTGATGAATACAAATTTTGTTTTGATAGATGAATATTTTCTTTATAGCCATAATGTTAAAATCTTGATACACACTTCGAGTGTGAAAACAGTTATCCAATCGGTATAACTTCTCAATAGCTTTATTCTGGAGTACTTCAAGGGGTTTTAATTGATTGTTAAATGATGTAGCCCAAATTATAGTGAGATACTGTAGATATTGTCAACTCTGACTTGAGAATTTATTATTATTACTATTATTATTCCGTATGCCCCGACCTACATTCTCCACATTCGTTTATTAAACTTTTATTTCACAATCGATTTATATCAGCAATACCTAAAGTTTAACGTTTCCAAATAACCAACAATATTCCTCTAATGAATAAGTTCATTAACTTTGAGCTACTTTGGCAAAGAACCAAAGAGTCAGCAGTCGACTCACCAAAAACTGATTGAGGAAACGAATCGATCATTATCAATCGGGCTGCGATAGAGTGAGGGTAGTCTCGACGAACCCCTTTAGAGAAATATACGCGTGTACGAGTGGTGGCTGAGAGAGATTGGTCCAGTTGGGTCGGCGATTTGATTATCTATGTAAGTACCCATATTTGTTTTGAATAAAGCTTGTTATTTCTATACTCTGACCTGGGTGATCTCATTGACTGATCTCTTAAAGTGGTTCTGGTCAAGTATCGAGTAAAGCCTCAGAGGCTACAATATCTAATACCTCTCGATTAGCAAAGAGTGTGTTTCTACTAGTGTCACCCCGGCTACGCTCCCCAAGCAAGCCAAAGTTAATAGAGGGTGTGACAATATGGATGAATTAATGAGAAATATACAGATCTTAAGAATTTCCTCGGAAGAATATAATTCAGTCTCCTCAACACTCATGTAGGTACCGATATTTTCTTTTTTATATAATCAATGTGGTCACTCCAAGATAGAGATCTGTCTATTATTAAACCTAGAAATTTGACACGATGACCGACCCTGGAGGCAAAATATTGAAACACAACCTCACTTTTTTACTTGGTTACAGAGGAATCAAAGGATTGAAATAGTTTTTCACAATATTTTGGCATACGAATCGTGTTTTTTGCGCTATTCATTAATTCGAGCATGCCTTCGCATTGTGCTGTTGTACAATGCACAAAAAATGCATCAAGAGACTAAAGAATATGATTTTTCAGGTAAATAGTAATCTCACATAGTTATCATTATGAAATGTTGTCATTCCTTATTAAAATTCCTTCTGCCTTCTGCCACTCCTGCAATACAAGCTAATACTGCTAATAGATTGAAAATGTCTACAACACACACGATCGTCAGCATGTCAGACCAGTCCTCCCGATTGATTGCATGAATCCAATTTTCTGGCATTATTTTAGAAATTTCAGATGTATTTCTATTAGCTTCTATGGCAGAAAGAATTCCGATGAGAAATCAGAGAAATTACCAAATTTCAAAAATGAAAACTATATGTGAGTGACTATAGTAGGTACTTACTTTTAAATCATATTGTACCAACCGGATTACTTCGTCTTCCGCTGCAGTTTTTGTGCATTTCACAACAGCATAATGTGATGGGATGAGCTAATTGATGAATAGCGGAAAAATACGATTCGTATGCCAAAATAATTGTGAAAAACTATTTCAATCACTTGGTTTCAATATTTTGCCTCCAGTGTCGGTCATCTGACAGTTCTTGCACGCAACCCATTAGTGATGATGCAGGTTAATATCTCCAATTGGATTACTTCTTTTATCAATTCACATAAATGATTTGCGAGGTGATTTGTTTACGTTCAATGTTAACTTATGCCGACTCTCGGACTATTAGCAACATATTGAAGGTTTCTTACATAGAAAGTTTATAGTGAACTAATGTGCCATGCCCATGATTCACAGAAAAATAGCTTCAGTACTTACCAATGCCATCCTTCTGAATAGGAATAACGGAGGGATCAGTGTTGCTGTGATAGGCAATCGGAGTTTTCAATACCAACCCAGGATGTTTGATCGGCTTTATTTTCCTTGTCGGACAAGGAATGGTTTGGGTGGACGTCGTTATCATATAAACGGGATGTGAACTATCATCTTCCACATAGCTGGAATCGTTACTTTCATTCTTCATATCAATGAAGTGCATCATGTCATAGTTCTCCATGGACTCCTGAGAAACAACAAATTCATTAGTTATTGGATTTTAGATTTCATATTAGCACATATCAAAACTGCTATTGAATAATGTGAATCTCACAATATAATCTCAATTTAAATGTGTGTCAAGACGAGTGATTATCGTTCATAATACAGGGAGACATTGAAATAATTACATATAATTTGAAATCTGACATTGCTCAACTACTAAATGGCAACTGAAAAATACATAAAAATAAATATACTGTAGCAATTCTGACGTCACCTTCTTACCAATTTCCGTGCCGAAGACCACAATCGCGAGGAATTCAATCATTTTGAGGTAACTAACTAGATTATATCCATTTTTTATTATCAAATTTCTCGTTTATTAGAAGCAATGGCGGATCCACGAAACTGGTTAGGGGGGAGTAATGAATATAAAAAGTAAAATACTAATATATTTCCAAATTGGTTTTGCAGTCATAACGTTTTTCCTCGTCAACCGATTTTTGAAATCTCAGGTTCATTTTGAAGCTGAAACTTCAGATGAAGAGATATGAAGATCAGAATTGACTCAAGATAAACATTATACAGTGTGTCTCACAATGGAAGCACCCCTGTAAATTTCGTAATTGTTGAGTTAGGATTCTGAAATTTGCAAGAGTGGTAGATATACTGAAAATACACACTATGACCAAGTGGAGTCATCTCCAGTAATATACACTGCTCGCCAACAGCCATGGAACCACCCACAAAAATGATATAATGAGGCAAGATAGGTTGAAAATCACTTCGGATTAGAAATCAGGACGTCCCTTTCGCTTCCTTCTGCAAATTTCAGAACACTACTTCAATAATTGCGTGAGATACGGGGGTGCTTCCATGAACTGAAAATTTTCCAGGAATACTATGAATAGTCAGTGAATTGGACGTCCTGATTTCGAATCCGAAGTGGTTTTCAACCTATCTTGGCTTCTAACATTTTCCGTTAATTTGGGTGGTTTCATGGCTGTCGGCGAGTAGTGTTAATCACTGGTCATACTATTCATTTTCAGTTTATCTCCCGCTCCTGTAAGTTTCAGAATTCTAACTCAACAATTACGAAACATACAAGGGTGCTTCCATTAGAAGTGAGACACGCTGTATAATGTTCATCTGAGTCAATTCTAATCTTCATATCTCTTCATCTGAAGTTCCAGCTTCAAAATGAGATTCTAAAAACGGATGGACAAGGAAAAAAGTTATGACTGCAAAACCAGAAAGATAATTTTTTGAGATCACTCTGTGAATGAAAGAGATAAGAAGACAATTTGGAAAATGTCCCTAGGTAATGAGATCATCTTCATGCCTCTGCTGTCGAAGTTGAAAAAAAGTTTTTGTTTATTTGGGATCCTTTTGAAAATTCCGAAATTTCTCAGTTATTCATATTTCAACAGGGACAAAATTTTGGGGTAGTAGCTTATTAGCGCTCGAAAACAATGATGCATTACCATATTCATGAATATGCCCTAGGGCCCGGATAATGTCAAATTAACAACTCAATAGCATATTAATTATAATAATAATTAAATATTTATTCAATAATCAATAATCAAAGTACAATAAATTAACAAAATCTCCATCATTTCCAATCGAATAAATATTGAGGGTTTGAGAACTATTCTAAGTATAAATGTGTTGTTTGAAGTTAGTTATGTTTGGACTGCTAAGCTGAAGCTTGTCAGCATTCCATTCATAAACGATAAATACATTTTTCTACTCACATAACTAAAATGGCATTTAGCGTACGGATATGTACCACGCTAAATGATCGATTAATCACGGATTGACGATCTGTGATTTATTCAAGATTTTAAACACGTTACCATGGCAACACGATTTCTTAAACACATTACCATGGCAACACAGTTCATTAAACACAGCTTCAGTAATTTGAAACATGTCTGGCCTGTCAATTGTATTAATTGTCAACTGTTATTTTCAAATTTTGTATCAGGATTATTCAAACAATATTCGTTTGTATCAGAATTCTTCATTAAAAATATATGCGAAATGTAGACGAAAATGAAATCGAAGAGAATGTTCTGGTACTTGCATATCTCCAAGAAGTGTAAATATGAAGCGTCTATCTTTGAGAACAATTTATTGATTCTGCGCTGAGCATGACAATAAACGTGAAACAAAGGTAAGTAAACAATGGACTGGACACATCTATAACCAATATCACTTATACGTGTCTCGCTGGTTGCATGCAGTTGCATGTAGTTGCATGTATTATGTTCTCAATTCCCATTCCGTTCGAATTATTTTGTAAGTTAGCAGGAATAGCAGGTATGTAAATGTAATTTGCGGAGTTCGTAGAAAAACTATAGTATGTAACGCGTTTATAAACTCTTCTAGACACTCGTTTATTAAACACTCGCTCCGCTCTGCTCCGCTCGTGCTTAAAATACTCGTTACTAAAAGGACGTTTATGACACTTGTTACATAATATACTATCAACATAATACTAAGTTAAGGAACATGTCATTGTGACAGTTAAGGAATTGTTAGAGAAAAAATAAAAAAAATGAGAATAAAATCAGTAAACGAGGAAAGTCACCAAAATATGAATGAAATAAACAATAATTATCATTTTTAAAATACACCTCTATATAATTATCAAGTGAAGAAGAAAAAAGGAGTGAATAAGTAATATGAATTAGAATTTTATCGAATTTGATATATGTATAGTTGGGAGTAGTTACAGGAGATCAGAGCACATGTACTGGATTTTCTACGAGCCATCTGGTGATTATTTTCTTAAAACTGGGTACGTGGTTTTTAGATTTCAATTCTAGAGGGATACATTTTCTGGCCAACGTAGTTGAAACATCGCTCTCCTATAGATAGATGCACTTTAGGTAAAATTAAATTTATCGATATATCGATATTTATCGATATTTATCGATATATCGATACTTATCGATATATCGATATATCGATATTTAAAAACTTAAATATCGTTATTCGATATATCGATATATCGATATATTTATCGATATATCGATATTTTTTCCCAGCCCTAATCCCAATGGTGAGAATCTAATTTGGGACACACGATATATTCATCCTTTTTCCTTCATTTTATTCCTCCTGTAAGGAAACCAAGGTGATGAATTGATTGGACTTGGTTTCCCGAGGTTTCTTGATCGTTCTGTCCAAATCCAAATCGTTCCCTTCATAAGGGATGTAAGTCAATGTGTATAAAGGGTGAGTCATGACTAACCAGCCATAGCCTAATGGCGGATAGAAGAAGTCAAGGTGAGTTGATAAACCGGGTGGTCGATTTAAGACTATCCACTATAAAATAGGAAACAGGTCGATTTTTATATAGATGGGGTCACCTTTTGACACGAAATAACTAATCCATACTTCAACCCTCTACTCCCCAGAGCAACCCCCTCAATAATTTGAATAGGGAATAAGGATCGTGTTATACATCATTGCAAAGGTGATTCAATTTTGAAACCAGGAGTGTAAAGTTTTGTGAATTCCAACAAGTCGTTTTCGAGATATTCGAGTTCAAATGGTTTGTTTTCCAATTGCGAGTAATTGAATGTACGGAATGAATTATTGAATGGTTATTCACAACAAATGTTCAAAATTACCTTCATTGACTTCCAGACAGTGGTAGAATCTATTTGTAAATTCTTTTCGCACATTTGAAATGTTTCTCTAGTTGTTGCCTGGCATTCAACCCTAATTATTCTTAACTTATCGTCCAGATTTCGGATGACCCCAAAGAAAAAAATCATTGGGTGCAATGTCCGGCGAGCGTGCTGGCCATTTAAATGGTCCTTCACGACCTATCTATTAGGGAAATGGGGTAGCCATTCTCTATTATGATACGGAATGAGGTTGACACAGTATCTTGTTGAAAATAAGTATTATCTGCCAATAGATTTCGATAACCATCATCATAGAGGTCCGTAGAGGACTAATAGAATGGACAGCACGCCTGCCGGACTTCGCACCCAATGATTTCTTTCTATGGAGTCATTTAAAATCGGTGATTTATAAAACGGAACCTACTGACATCGATGATTTGGAGAGAAGAATGAGAACTGAATGCCAGGCAAAATCGAGAGAAACATTCTCAAACGTACAAGAGGAATTTTCAAATAGACTCTACCACTGTCTGGGAGTCAATGGAAGTCATTTTGAACATCTTTTGTGGATACCTGTTCAATAATCTATTATTTACATTCATTTACTCACAATTGAAAAATACCATTCGAACTCGAATATCTCGAGAACGACTTGTTGGAATTCAAACTTCTCACTGCTAGTTTCAGAATTGAATTACCTTCGCAATGGTGTATAATACGACCATTATCTATACCTGGGGATTAGAGGGTTCAAGTATGGATTATTTATTTCGCGTCGAAAGGTGTCCCCCTCCATATGAAAATCGACCTGTTTCGTATTTTTTTTGTAAAATAATAATTCTGGGAGATATCGAGGGTGGATGGACTTAAATGGACCACCCGGTATATGAGAAAAAATATATTCTGCCTATTCCTAACAGAAATACAGGGCATTATTTGCATTCGGGGCGAATCTTTGATGAACGATATTTCAGGAACATCTCAATGTTTTCGCCTGAAATTCACCAGCGATTTACCTCTACTGACACACCACACGATGGCCTATTATGAAAGACAAATTCCAGAGCCGGACTTGGAAAACTTATTTTCTTTTTAAATGTCAAAATTTCGACTTTTTGAATCGTCTTTACAAACACTTTCATCAGAATCAGAAAGATCAGAAAAAACACTACAAGTGTAGCTTTTCAATTTGTACGGCACACTTCGACCGGATTGGTGAAAAAATATCAAACAAAATTCAGACGAATATTTCTGCGATTTCGTCCGGGCCATTACTCTCTACATTCGACTAAAAGTATTGGAATGATTTTTTTTGCATATTGATTTAGCAGCAGAGTTGAGAAAAAGTATTATTAAACAAAAATCAGGACCGGACTTGGTT